TTACCTAGACATGTGACACTTCCCACCCCACCTCTAACCTCTAGGCAGGAGAGAAGGGCTGGAGATTGAGTTCATCACCAGTGGTGAGGGATTTAATCAGTCATGCCTATGTGATAAAACCATGATAAAAAACTCTAAACATGGGAATTCAGAGAACCTCTGGGCTGGTGAGCACAGCAGGGTGCTGGGAGGCTGCATGTCTGGAGGTGTAGAAGCCCTCCATATACATCCTCTTCCATGCGTCTTAGGCTGTTCCTGCATTGTATCCTTTATAATAAGCTAGTAAATGTAAGAAAAATGTTTCCCTGAATTTTGTGAGCTGATCCAGCAAATTACTGAAATCGAAGTGGGTGACGGGAGCCTCTCCCAGATTCGGTGACCAAGTGAGATAGACACGTGGGTACCTGGGTGCAATACCTGCAGCTGGCTTCTCAAGCAAGGGAGTTTTGTCGGACTGAAGCCTTAAACCTAGGGAGTCAATACAACTCCAGGTAGTTAGTATTAGAAGTGAATTGAATTGTAAGAAAGAGAAAAATTCTAGAATTACCTAAATTTAGTTACAAGCCAGAGAGGGGCCAGGTATAGAGGAGAGGAAAGATGACGAGAAGCTCTTCAGCTAAGAGCTTTAGCCAAATAGATTGAAAAAAAAAAACAAATAAAAAAATTTTACTCCACATTCTTAAATGCATGTTGAAATCATAACTCAAAACCCCAGGAAGATGACCAGCATGGTCCCATCATATTCTGCCCACAACCCCAACCATGTTAGAGGTAACAAGTACTTCTCTACACAGATGGCCTTTCTATTCTAAAACATTCATGGCTTTGTGTTACTCACCCTTCTGATCTATAGCCAGTGAAGGTTAAGATACCCTCCTTCCCAAAGCTTATAAAAAGTGCTCCTGGCACTGATCTGGCAAATATCTTCCAAATCTCACTGAGCCCTGCTTGTGGTGGTTATGGAAATTTGTCCCAGCACCTGGTCTTTTCTGTTTCTGGCTAGCCTCTGTAATGGCTTGATACACCTTTCTTATTTCGGAGATCCCTTAGTCTCTAGGGCTTTGGTTCAACATGAGAAAACCCCAGACTGTCTTCCGGTGATTTGGTTATCTCTGAATGTTTATGTCTGTGAGCTTCCTTCAGTCTGAGGTCCATACCTCTGCTCCTTTATGTGTCCTGAGCCAACTGACTTATCCTAGTCTCCTGCCTAGCTGTTTCTTTGACCTACTTTTTATACTTGTACTCAAGGGCCAGGATCTCCCAGTAACTCAAGAGAGTGTGACTTCCCACTCCTCTTCAAGCCCTTTATGTCTCCACTTAATTCCAGCTTTCATGATTTTTTCAGTACTGGAGATTGAACCTAGGGCCTTCCCATTAAGCTATATCCCATCCCTTTGTATTATTTTTACTTTGAGACAGAGTATCGCTAAATCACTAAGTTGCTCAGTCTGGGCTTGAACTTGTGATTTTCCTGCCTCAGCCTTCCAGATGCCTAGGATTACAGCAGCTTTTACATTTGACAATGACAGGCTGTCACACTTGATGGTGACTCTGGCCTATCAAGAAGGTCAGGCTTGAGTTTCTGAGCCCACAAGACCTTTGTGGCTTACTCTCACTCTCTTCTGTATTTTAATCCTGCCATCCTTTGCCCTCTTCTGTCCTACCGCCTCCTTCTTCCTCACTTCTCACATCTCATCTCCCTGAAGCCCTATAGAATGTACCACTTAAATGACATGCCTCTCGGGACACTTTTATCATTGCCTCCATCTTTCTGGACCCTGCAGAGTGGCTTCCTCACTGGGAAGCTCTGTGGGGACTCAGTGATGGTATACCCAGGCTGTAGCCTAGAGGCTGCACATCCTAATTGCTCAATAAATAGTTGTAGAACAAATAATTAAACTAGACCCTGCAGTGGCTCCCCATTTATGCCCCATTCCCTTCACACTGAAACCACTGATCTTTGTGAAATGGAAATCTGACCATGTCACCTTTCTGTTCAAATCCTCACTGGCTTTTCCTGTTGCCCTGGATACAGGTTTGCAGGTCGCCACAGTGCCACGCTTTGACTGGTTTGTGCCTGCTCATCTCTGGGACACCTCTAACATCATTCCATCTGCCTCCTGAGCTCTGCCCTCTTCCAGCTTTTTGAATATGCCAGGCTTCCTTCCACCAGGGCTTTGGCACCAGGTGCTCTCTTTGGCTGCCGTGTTTCCTCCACTCTCTTCTTTGCCAAGTTAGTAGCTATATGCATGTTCCATGCAGCATACTAGTTATCAGCTCAAGAGGCGCTTCCTCAGGGGAGTCCTCCCTGATCTCCCTGGTCCATGATATATTATCTCCAGGGATGGAACTCCTTTCCTGTGGACCAGTTGTTTGTTTACATGCATTTGTGAGATAAATGTGTCGATCCTTGCCGTGTCTGGAAGCTCTCTGAGAGCAAGGACTGCGCAAACCCACTCCTGCATGGCATCTGACACACATCTCTGTACAGGATGGATAGGTGGATGGTCCTTTGATCCATCTCCTGGAGGCCCTGTCTCATACTCTCCACTGTGCCTCCTCCATGGTGCCCTTTCTTCTGACTCCCTCTGGGAGAATGTCTTAGCTTGATCTGCATAAAAAATGAACAGAGACATTTATCTCTCACAGTTCTGGAAGCTGAAAGCCCAGGGTCAAAGTGGCTGCAGAGTTGGTTTGGGATAAGGGCTCTTTTCTGGGTTGCAGGCAGTTGTCTTCTGGCCGTAGCCTTACACGGCAGGAAGAGGAAGCTCTGATGGTTTTCTCTTCTTAGCACCAATCCAATCACGGGGTTCTACCCTCATAACTTCATCTAAAACTGATTATGTTCAAAAGGCCCCCATGTCCTAATACCATCACATTGATGTTTAAGGCTTTAATATCCAAATAGGGTGGGGAGGCACAGATATTCAAGCCATATCAGAGAGCTCCTATGTAGCCCTCAAAGCCCTACTCTACTGTCACTTCTTAGGTGTCCCCTGCACTGAGATAGTTGCACAACCTTTGGATTTTTTTTTTTTCTGAGTTCCTTGAGTGACTATGAGCTGCCTGCAGGGCTCACTGGATAGATACTTCATTCCCAACGTGGTCCCCAGGACCCCAGTGCACGTCTGCCAGTGATGCTGAAGTAAATGCAATGCCTCATCTTCAGGACAGCGACTTTCTATTGTCCCCCCCACCCCAGGTGTCCTCCCCTTGTTCCAGGTGCATGGCAATCTCTGTATTGACAAAACACATGGGTGTGTTTCCTCAACTTTTGGGAGTGTGTTTCATGAGATCTTTGCTGTCAAGGAAAGCAAACATCCAGGGATTTCCTAAAGCCACATCTGTGGATTGAACATGTGGACAGCGACAGGTTCCAGGAAGTGCATGACTCTCGCATGCATAGCTGAGCTAATGTTTGCTTAATCTGTTTGATAGAAGCTTCATAGGTTCACAACACTCAACATTGAACAGGAGACGCCCATTGGATATACGTGCCCTATTACGTATAAAAAAGGTGTATTATACAGGTGTTTACTTACGTATCATAAGGTGATTTACGTATCATAAAGGTGTTTCTAAGAATGTATGCATTTCTGAAGTTTATCCACTTAAAGGATGATATGAATTTGTGAGAGATTGTGTAATTATTTTATTCAAATTTATTAGTATTTTATAAGTGACTCTTACAGCCTTCCAGAGCTTATATAAAAAATTGCATAATACAGCTATTTGTGAAACCACCTATGCAACAAGTAAGGTTCAGAGCCCCAGCCCCTTGTAGCTGCCCAGCCCCAGCCCTTGTCAGTCAGTCTCCCCAAGTCAGGTGGGTTCCCTCCTCCAGCGTCCCCCTCTGTAGGTAGGCATCACTTCAGGGCAGCCTGAAATATGGTGGCGTCTCCCACCTCCTTTCACTCTCTCTCCTTTCTGGGTTCCTTCCCACACCTGCGACACAGCTCTGAGGAGGTGACAGCTGCTCTAAACCTTTGTTTGCTCTCCTTGGATTACCGGGTACAGTGTGCATCCCCTCCCGCAGGGAACTTAACACCCACACCACATGGCCCTGGATTACCTTTTCTGCATTGCCTTCTCAAGTCCCCCCCACCTCCTCTTGCTCCAATTCTTTGTCCCCTTCCTCTCCCTTTCCACTTTATACTGTTCCCAGCTGTGTAGGGATTCCTGTCTTGTCTTCCTGCCAGTGTGAAACTCCTTTGAGAGTTTAACTCTGAATCCTCTCTTTCTTCCTCCTCCCTCCCGCTATCTGTCACACATAGCCTCTGGATGCTGCTGATTGTGTTGCCTTTTACATCATCCATTTTCAATAAGCCTGTCACCTCCAGTAGAGGATAAGGTGATTCTTAAGGAGAGGAGCCAAAGATCTCAGATATTACAATGGTCTTTGGCCCTCCAAACAGATAAACAGGTCATCTGTGTAATTCAAGGTACATGGTGGGAGCAACTAGAGGAAAAAAGTCTAAAAAGGCTCTTTGACAGTTGGGGCAGGAGACAATGAGGAAAAAAATTGAGAAACAATGCTCTACGCTAGACAAGAGGAAGGGAGTTCTGAAAACATGGTTAGATTTAAATGAATTTGATGGTTGTATGCTGCCTAGAACAGTGCCTAGTACATAATACGAACCTGAATATGTGCATAATGCACGTACTATGTCTGAGAACTACCTGAAGATTTTTACATACATCATCTCATTTAATCTTATACCGGCTCAGTGAGGGAAGCATTATTATCATTATAGATGGGAAACAGAGGCTTAGAAAGCTTGGCTTAATTGCTCAGTGTCAAACCTCTGATAATTGACAGAGGCAGGATTTAAAATCTGTCTGACTTCAAACCCTAGCTACAGTGAGGGGAAAAGCCCTTTCTTTGCAACTGGGGTGAAGCCACCGGCTAGTGGGGGCAGAGATAGGACAGCAAAATGAAATTAACTAGTATGTGTAGCTGTAAATGGCCTTGGACTGATGGAGGGTATTCTTATGTCCAGGGCCATGATGATGACTGCTTGTGATCTCTCGGCCATCACCAAACCCTGGGAGGTGCAGAGCAAGGTATGGGCTTCTGACCCAGGAGAAACTCAGGCCTGCTGCAGTGATGAAGAGGCCTGGACTGTCAGCCCGATTTTGCTCCATCTTCCTCTGCTAAGATGCGGGAATCACTTTAGTGTCTCTCTATTGATAACAAGTGGGGTGGCAGGGCAGGGGCAGGTTTTTCCCTTTTGCTGAGTTGGAAACACAGGTGGGGTGGGAGAAGGGGCAAGAGGATTAGGGCTAGAGCTGTGCGTGTGCGTGTGTGTGTGTGTGTGTGTGTGTGTGTGTGTGTGTTGGTGTCTGTCTGTTGCAGGTGGCTCTGCTGGTGGCAGCTGAATTCTGGGAGCAGGGTGACTTGGAGCGCACGGTGCTGCAACAGAATCCTATTGTGAGTACACAGGGGAATCAGCCTATTTTTAGGCATGTATGATCCCATCCTGACCAAGAGATGAGACCAGAAATAGAGATGTGTGACTGTACCTCAGGGCTGAACTTTCCCTAATGTAGTAATTCTTTAAGGGTGGTTCCCAGGTCACCCTCAACCTCATTTTCTAAGAATAGGTTAGAGATGCAATTTCATAGGCCCTGCCCTGAACCACTCAATGAGGGTTTCAGGTGGAGCTAAATATTTGGGCTAATGAGCCCTCCTGAAGTTTGAGGTCTTGCTCTCAAGACTCCTTAGCTTACTCAGCTATGTAGAGCTTGACACATGGAGACCTAGATCAATGATACTCTTTAAGTTCCAGCAGTGCAAATACCCACTTCCCTTGACCATGCTCTAATAGATCACAGTGCAAAGGGAAGACCGGGCCCACCTGTGAACTTCTCACTGTTGGGACAGTTAACTGACTCCCACAGGAGGTGGGGAGACCAGTCAGAGGGTGTCCTGAAGGCCCTGAGGGCAGTGCTAGGAAGGAGAGGTGAGCTTGGAAAGGATGGGCAAAAGAGAGAGACCTTTCAGGTACAAAACGCTGATGAGGAACAGGTTAAATTGTGAAGGTGCAATAAAGATGCAGGGGCCCCTACAAGGGAGAGTGGAAGGTGGGAGGAGCAGGCAGGGGCTTGAACAGGTGCAGCGAGGGCTCATAGGATTTATAGTTCTCTCTTTTTAACATTTTTAATGAAGAGAGAATAGTTGAACTTTATGTACCCATCAGCTAAAGTTAAGAATTAGCAGCAGTCTGCCATTCTTGTTTTATCTGTTCATTCTTGTGTACTTTTTACTTTTGGTGGACCATTTCAAGTGAATCACAGACATTGTCATTCCTTCCATAAATACGTTAGTGTCTCTAAGAGGTAAGATCTCAATGCAGACCTATAACTACAATACCATCACACTCAGGAAGTTAATAATGACATTGAATACCATCTACTCCCCAATATCTGCTCATGTCCCCCCAAATCTGCTCATTTTCCCTGATTGAGAAAAAGAATTCAATTGACTTGTTCAAATAAGGATCCAGACAAGAAACCCACAGCCTCCTTTTGCTATGTCTCTTAAATCTCTTTTAGTCAGCATCAGATTCTCCCATCCACCTGCTCACTGCCCAACTTTGTGTTTCTTTCTTTTGTACACTATTTGTGCAAGGCAGTGGTCTTTTGATGTATGGATTTTCCCATTCTGGATTTTGTTGATTACACCTTCATGGTATTATTTGACATGTTCCTCTAGTTCCATACTTCAGTCAGATCCGGAAGCTTGATGAATTTAGTTGTTTTTTTTTTAAGCAAAAATACTTCGTAGACAGGGTGGGTTCTTCTTGCTGACCAGTGCAGTTAACTCTTTTTCCCATGACAGCCCATGATGGACAGAAACAAGGCAGATGAACTCCCGAAGCTGCAAGTTGGTTTCATTGACTTTGTCTGCACCTTTGTCTATAAGGTAGGTCCTTGCTTCCTCAGACCCAAATATATGTCTTTGATAAGCCTGGGGTTCCCAAAGACATCAGGGATAATAATCCCTGACAAATGACCAAGGGCTGATATATTACAAAGTGCGTTTGTCACTTGTGGTGCTTGATCCTCAGGACAGCTCTGTGTGGACTGGGCGATGGGATTCCCAGGCTGTGGCCTAGAGGTGGGCACATCCTAACTGCTCAATAAATAGTTGTGGTACAAATACTTAAACTGGATTTCAGACAGGAGATGTGGAAATACTGTAGACATGTGCCCGCCTAACTTCCATACCTGGTGGAAATGTGAGAGGCCAACATCACTGAGAAGACAATTAGGGCTTTCTCTTTGAGCTCTTGTTTAAGGTTAATTTTCCCTTTTGAGAAACCCACTGCATCCAAATCCATCTCCACTATCCACCTCCCCCTTTTAACTCTTATTTTGCCCACATTACACATGAGGAGCCAGAGGTCAGAGGTGAGACATCACAGGGCCAATGTCACTGAGCCCGGCCATGAGGTAGGATTAGAGGTGGGACCCTTGACCCCAAGTCCAGTGCTCTCTGCTGTAGGAGCTGTGGCTCTTTTGTCAGGAAGGGGAAGCGTGCATACTCCCAGAGCGGGCAAGAGCATCTCTGGTGTACTGTGGACCAAGTGAGGCTCTGCGTCAGCAGGGCAGAGCAGCTCACTCTAGCAGCAGTGTCATGAAATGAGGATCTGGCTCAGCATGTAGCTACACAGTCACAGCCACCCTTGGGGTCAGTACCGTTACTGTCCTCATTTCTGGCTGTACGTGACCTCTGCCCAAGGTCACACCACTTGTGACAGAGCCTAGATCCCAACCCAGGCATCTCCAAGCATAGCTGGCTCCGGGTTGATTAGAGCTGTAGTGGGTCCTCACTGCAGACAAATCTACTCCAGCCATCTCTATTGCACTCTCATTTACAAATGTAGGAGTGATGACACTTGTTTTCTCACTCCCCCACTATCTCCTTTGAAGATCAAAGGAGACAAATTGCTATAATATGCTGTGCTCAAGGCAGTATTTTAATCCTTCGAGGTGTAAGAACTCTTAAGAATCATCTCAACCTCCTGATTTCACTCACAGTATTTACCAAGGGTCTTTGTGTCCTGGACCCTGGGCTAGGGCAAGGCCAGCCCAGGAGACAAGGCAGCCCCTGTCCCTGCCTTCTCCAGGGTGCCAGCCTCTTGTGGAGGCAAGCAAAGGGAGCCATCATGAGGAAGTGAGATGTGGTAAGAGAGGGTTTGGGGAGTGTTCGATATGGCACTCAGTTTACCTAGGGGATCGGAAGAAGCTTCCCTAAGGAATAGTGACAGGTGGAGTCCTCTAGAAAGAAAAGAGCTTAGAGTTCCTGCAGGGAACTGCTGGGTGAAGTGCACAGATGGGAGGAGACACTCAGGAACTGAGACCTGGAGTGCCTGGGGGCCCAAGATGGCAAAGGGCAGGAGCGTGCTGGGCTGTGGAGGGGTGTGAACACCATGGGAAGGGGCTTGTGCTTCATGCTGAAGGAAGGGGTGGCACAGGAGGACTCTGAGCAGGAGTGGCAAGGACTCTGTGGTGTAGCCTGGGTGCCTGCAGTGTCAGCATGTACACCAATCAGCTCGTTCCAGTCCGGCCTCCCCCTAGAGCTGGGGCTGGGGCACGGTGCTGGGCCAGATGTCTCTGTCTCTCTCTGTCTCTCCCAGGAGTTCTCCCGTTTCCATGAGGAGATAACCCCCATGCTGGATGGGATCACCAACAATCGCAAGGAATGGAAGGCCCTTGCTGACGAATATGACACCAAGATGAAGACGCTGGAGGAGGAGAAACAGAAGCAGCTAACAGCCAAGCAAGGTGCACGGGAGAGGATAGAACCTGACCCCCACACATCCACCATGTGGTGTGTCCAGGCCTGGTTCCCAGGGTGAGACTAAGGGGCCTCCAGGCCTCCCAGCTTATGCTGCCAACCAGCATAGGGCCACCTCTGACTCCAAGGCTGCCAACACGTGCTCCTAGCCTGGGAAAGAGAAAACCTAGAATGATTGGCTGGAAGGCATTTTGTTTTATTTTTTTTTGGTACTGGAGATCGAACTCGGGACCTTGAGCTTTCCAGGTAGGTGCCAGAACCACTGAGCTAAATCCCTGGCTTGGAAGGCATTTTAGGGCCCATGTTTCCAGTCTTCTGTCTGATGTCTGAAGCCTGTCTATACCATCGTGAGCCTTTGCTTGTGTACTGCCAGTGACAGAGGTTCCCTACCTTACAGGACACCCTCATTCAGTACCAGTGTTAGAAAGGTCTTCTGTGAACTCAAATTGTTGTCTGTTGAAGCTCCACCCAGCTTCAAGGGGGATTATGTGTTCCAGCCCTTCCCACTGACAGCGCTCTTCCTCCCCTTCTAGGCATTTCTTTGATTAGTTGTGTGCTTTGGTTCTTCACAGGACTTGGCCCCACCCTGCACGAACTCCCCTGTACACTGTCCCTCCTTGCACATGGTTCTTATCATGGGCCCTGTCAGGGTCCCGCTCTGCTCTGGGCAGTGTGGGATGATTTCAAATGGGCAGCTGCTGTAAATGTGGGGCTGCCCAATAGTTCTGTGAGTCATGATTTGCACACTTCCCAAGGGTATCCTGCATATTGTAGTCATCATATTTTCTGGAATTTTCCAGGAAATGGGAGCAAAGTGTCCCGAGGAAGAAGTGTCTTTCCCAATTTGCATAACTTGTCTTTTGGGCTAGTGACCGGTGTCTGCAAACTTGTGATCTGCAATTTTTTTCCAATGCTGAGGATTGAATCCAGGGCCTTGCACATGCTAAACAAGTGCTCTGCCACTGAGCCACACCTCCAGGCCCTGTGTGTGTGTGTGTGTGTGTGTGTGTGTGTTTTAATATGAATTTACTATCCATATTTTAAAATGGAGGCTTTTTATATTTAAAAATCCATATTTCCAGGCTTCATCTTTAAAAGATGAAAGTCTAGTCACACCAATCTTGCATTTTTGCACAAGTGGCTGGAGCTCAGTGGCACCTGCCCTGCATGGATGGAACAGGTGCTCTCTCTATTTTGTCACAATTTCCATACTCCCTGTCTCCCAGACACTGGTGCCAACTGTGGGTTGCCATTTGCCATCCTCCTCCTGCTGCCATTTTTCATGGAGAAGGGAAATTCTTGGCTCCCCCAATTCTTCTGACCCCTGGCTTACCTTCTGCACATGTGCTCATCTGCTAGCCTCTGAAAGACCTTTGAGTTTACAATTCTTGGTCCTGACGAGGTGCAAGGGGAAGTCCACTGCAGCCTGCTCTCACCTCATGTGTTTTCTTCTGTCTGATTGCAGCATCCTCAGGAAACCAGCCTGAGGGCGTCCCCAACCCAGGCAGTGCGCCTACATCCAAGTCCTGCTGCATCCAGTAGCATGACCAGGTTGCCGCTGGCCAGGATGGGACTACCTTCCAAGGAAAGAAGTCATCCAAGTAATGGAAAGCCACAGATCACCTTGAGATGTGAGAGTTAAGGATTTGAGAGCTGATGGAGACGTTAGCTTACATCTTATCTAATGGTTTAAAACATCTTTTTAGCCTTGAGAACTGTCTATTGAGTTAAAACCGATATTCTAGATTTCATAGACATTAATTCAAGTTTTAATTAATGTCAGATTCACCTGCTTGATTAGAATCATTTCTGTTATTTTATTTTGCAGTACCAGGGATTGAACCTAGGCAGATGCTGTACTACAGAGTTACATCCCCAGGTCATTTTTGGTTTTTACTTTTATTATAAGTTTTCATTCACTCTCAAAAGTGGAAAATGGTACACTGAATCTCCATGTGTCTGTCCCTCAGATTTGAATATCAAGATTTGGCCACATTTGGTTCATCTGTATTTTTTTACATTTCTTTCTCAATTTTCTTCTTAGCTCAAGTATTTAGAGGGAAATTCCAGACATACCTTGTCACTCCTCCATTCTTTTAAAAGAACAGGTCATTTTTTTTTTTTTTTTGGTACCGGGGATCAAACTCGGATCCTTGTGCTTGTACAGCAGGAGGTGAAACCACTGATCTAAATCCTTGGCCCGGAACAGGTCATTTTTTTAACATGACTACAGTATTATGTGCAGCAGACAAGCACCTCACACCCAACTGTGGGGTACACTGGGATGAGCCAAAGACCAACCCCTTCTTCAGGAAAAGACCAGAGACCTCCGTAGCCACAGTGCTACCTAGAAGGAGATGGTTCTTGGTGTCAGCCCCTCCAGAGGTTTTCTCAGCTGCAGGGATACTCTTTCTGTTTCCCAGGGTGATCTATACTTGATGACTGGTAGAAAGGCCTCGCCGTCTTGGTGCAACATGGGCAAACTGCAAAGCCATTCTAGTTCCAAGCCTCCTGTGTGGTGTACCAAGGCTACTGCCAGGCTTGCATCATTGTCCAGCTTCCCCTCTGCCCACTCCTGCTTCCTCCTCTTCCCTCCCCTCCCTCCCGCCCCCTCTTCTCCTTCCCTCCTAGTCCCTTCCTGCCCTGGGCCGAGCCTGAAGATGGCTCTTTGTCTCCTCCCTACTCCCTTTCTCCTCCATAGATTAGATAGTCAAACAGACTGCTTGACTAATATTGTAGACCCTGGATGGCACAGCCCCAGGAAACAGTTACATTATGTATCCTTCCCTGTTCCCTTCCTACACCTGCCCCCGATCACGAAACAATCATGCTATATTCCACCTAGGTCACTTAGGCCATATAGCACTATTTGCCCTGCCTTCTCTTCCTGTTTGCTTTCCACTATAAATAAAAAGCGCATAGGACTCTAGGCAGCTCTTGACAAGCTATAGTTCCACCTGATGCCAACTTTCAAGAATAGTCTTTGTTTCTTTGTTTTTTCTTCATCTCTCACCGGTCTCCCTGGCTTCAGACCCTATGCTGTGTGGGTCACAGCACCTTACCTTCATAAGCATCTTGCAGAGTTCATTTGAGTCTGCCTCCCAGGGAATCCACTTTGTGGTGCTAGCCCTTAGTCATCTTTCTCCCACTATCACAAAAATGTCTTTGAGATTTGATTTGCTTGAATCTAGCTGTTGTGTTTCAATTTGGTTGTTGTTTTTTATTTGTTTTTTGGGGGAAAGATATGCTTTGCATTCCTGGATCTTCTATTGATTTGAAGGAATGCAAATCTAGGTAACATTCTCAATTGCAAAACTTCTGTTTTGATTAACAGGTATTTGGTTGGTTGTAAAAACAGGTAGAGCTTATTTTTTAAAAACCAAATCTTAAGTGTGCGCTGGTGAATCTGCAACACCTCCCAGGTTTAGTATGCATGCCTTAGTAACTGATGTTGAAAACTGCAAAAGAAACTAAAACCTAAAGATGACAATACCATGCTGAAAAGTTTCCAGGAAATTTCTGCTATACTGGCCCAAATTCTAATTTTATTTTCTATTGTTCCCCTGCTCAGCTTTATTTTATTTATTTCTTAGTGCTGGGGATGGAACCCAGGGCCTCCAGCACACTAAAAAAGTACTCTGTCACTGAGCTACACCCGCAGTCCCCTCAGCTTTGTTGAAGTGTAACTCACAAATGAAAATGGTTTCTACTTGAGGTGCACAGGGCAATGTTCGGATAGACCTACACACTGTGGAATGGTCCCCATAATCAAGCTAAGTAACACGTCCATGTCTTCCCAGTTACGGTGCTGTTCTTAGGTGTCTTTATCCACAGTAGTGCTCGTTCTTCTTCATCCCCTTGCCAGGGGCTCACTGAGGAAACCGATCAGTTGTCCCACATCCTAGATTTGCCTGTTTACTTTTGTAATAGTGTACAACACCTTCCAATGCCTCCTGTTCTTTTAAACACAGACATGAGCTCTAGAACCTTTCCTTCTCCCAGACTGAAGGTTCTGCAGAAGCTAATAGATTAAAGTGGTTGCTCTGAGGGAGCAGGGATTTAGCTCAGTGGTTCTGGCAACTGCCTCGCAAGTCCAAGGTCCCGAGTTCGAACCCCATTACCCCCCAAAAAAGAGATAAACCCTAAAGTGGTTGCTCTGGGGAGAGGGAATCACATGGTTTCCCCAAACTGTAAGTCTTTAATCTGCTTTAACTTCTCTCTTCTTGTAATGAGGAAATCAAAGGTCAGTGAGGGGATGGGCGTGGGTAAGTTCATGCAGTTGTCTGGCTTCCCTCCAGAAGCTGTCCAACGCCCCAAAGATCACTGTACAGGGCACAGGTCCCTACCTATGGCAGGTCATGTCAAAGGGGGGATGGGTCTGGCCTCCCGTTTTTTTTTAACTCTCAAGCTAACTTTCAATCCCACTACACCTGACACTCTGAGAGCATTGGTCTTTTAAGAAAGACATGTCCCAATGTACCTCATGCATACTGGCTAAGTGGCAGGGTAGAGAGGAGAAATAAATGTCACCAGAAACAAATAGGCATGGATACTGCTGGCTTTAGCTCTGCCGTGACATTTGAGTCTCTTGGACAGGTTCTTGGGCTCTGTCTCTGACAACTGAGGATCAGAATCATTGTCATGCCTCTCACACAGGGGGTTTGATTAGCACCGAATGAGAGTGTGTACCACGAAGATCACAGTTAATGTTGATTAAGTGCTTACAATGTCCTACGTACTGTGCATGATTCAATTTTGTTCTCACAACAACCCTACAGGGTAGAAGTGTTACTAGGCCTACTTACCACATGGTGAGAGCAGACTCAGAGAGGTTAAGAAGCCTGCCCAAGGACAACCAGCTAGTATATACTGGAGTAAAGAATCAAAACCAAGCAGCCTGACAGCTCGACCCCAGCTTGTAGCTATTGTCCTTGCACCATCTGGGTTCTGAGAACCAGCTTTTTTTGAATATGAAAGACCTTTGAGTTCATCTAAGCAAATCATCATAGTTCACAATTAAGGAAACCAGGAGCCTAAGAGGAGCTGTGTCCGAGTTCACACGACACAGAAATGTCACAAGAGTTGGGTCCCACGTGCAGGTCTGGAGGTTATAAATCTGCCATGCCATTCCTTGTGAGCAGCAGTGCCATTCTCCTGGAGCCTAATTAGGTAAGGAGCAACAGACACTGAGCAATCAGTCGCACAGCTACCTTCCCAAGGGCTCCAGTGCACACCAGGGAGCTCCGTCCCTAAGTAGAAATGGGAAAAGTCATGATCCGCTCCTTTAAAATGAAGAAATCCAAACAAATGTCACAGATTCAGAAAATATATCACCTGACCAATGAGAACAGTTCCTGTATGTAATAAACAACAATTTGAAAATAGTTTACACGTACCATGAAATGTAATGAGTTATTTTCTAGTTCTGATTTGTATATAATTCTCTCCACCTATGTATCAACCTTCTGGGGAGTTCATGGATATCTTTCACATAAAGATAAAGTTAAAGCACAAGGAAAAGCTTTGGGACAAAAATGAAGGTTGCATCCTCTAAAACAAGGGGAAATAACACACACTTCTTCCCCACACTGGCTGGAAGTCGGTACACAAAGGAAAATGTCTCTGCTCACCCAGGCACAGTGCAGGTCTGCCCTCTAGGAGATCCTCTGACTGGAAACACTTTCATACCTGTGAACTGATGAGTGCTTTTTCCTGAAACAATGTCAAATCTCTCTTAGAAAACATTTACTTAGTGTACTGGTGTGGAAAAGCTGATCTATTAGAACAAGAAAGTTTTTGTTCAGAAATGTTCCGGGAGATGAGCCTGGGTGTTATTATGAACTGTGAAAGTGTCCTGGAGGAATAAGAATAAAGTAATGGTGTTTGGGTGAGGGGTGGAGAACCTTGGCTGGGGATGTCTCTGAGATGGGGCTGGAACTGGATTCTTCCGTGAGTCTTCCCACAGTGAGTTCGAAGGACCAATAAAGAAAGACCTACTGGGGCAGGGCTGGGGTGGTATTGTCTTTTAATCTCATAGTGTATTTGTTAAGTTTATTTATAAGCAGATCACTTCACTATTTACAGTACATGAGCATAGAGATTCTACAGTTTTGTGATGTAAACAATAACTCCACAGTGGGAGCTTGAGAAAAGAAGCCAGTTCTGAAGTATTTACAGACATTAAAATAGAACTTTATACTCACAGAATAATAATACATAGAGCAATTTGGTTAAATTATCTATGAAACTATAGATTCTGACAATGTACAAATACAGGGAAACATTTTCTCATTTAGAAGATAAGACAGATAAATCACACCAGAAATAAAATGAGGACAATGACAACCACAATAATTAAAAGTGAAGAAGATTTCTTCCTTGCTTCTTACAGATAAAGTATTTATATAAATAAGGACACAACCCAACAAAATGGAAAAAATATATAAAAATCCTCTACCAATTAAAAAAATAGCAAAACTAAAAACTCGATTCTCAATCATTAGCAGTGTCCTTTAAAAAATTAAAATTTAGCTTTCTATTATAAATAACAAAGCAGATGTGTCCCTCTGTGTAGGTGAAATTCTTGCACCTTTCTCAAGAAATGCATCAATGTAATTATACACACACAGGCACAGACACGTGTGCACATGCATACACAAGTGCACGTACATGCACACACACATACACACGCATACACACAACAAACACAGCCTTACACTCACGCACCCCAGGCTGTAGTTACCTTGTTGAGCTTCCTAATAAATAATGCCCCCTACAGTAGTACCTCTGGGGATGACAAAACCTCCAAGTTTAGCCATTCCCTGGTTTGACCCTGTCACAGAGCCAGGGAAAGCCCTGGCTCCCTATTGCTCAGAATTCTCCAGGCTGCATGGTCACACCAAGAGAAAAGGATTTTGAGTCCAAGATTTGGAAATGCTGGAAGGGACCATGGGACCACCTTGCCCAGTCATTAAGGCTAGCTACAGACATCATCTCTAAGGACCTGGGGTCAGGGAGAGGGAGCTTGTATTGGTTTCAACATCAGCAGCTGCCTCTGGGAGAAGCAGATGCTCCAAGCCAATGATAACATGGCATGGGGAGGAAAGGGGGTGGGCGTGAACTTCTGGAGCAGACTGCACTGAGCTGGACTTCTAGATGGTCATCTTCCCCAGAAACCATCTGGAAATCCAAGCGATCCACTGCCCTGTTCCACATACCACCCAGACCATGCCCCCTTGAGATTTCCAACCTGTTTCAATCGGAATCAAAACATCCCTCAAGAAACAAAGTTGGGAATAGTTTATGACTTTTTATTCCTAACACAAAAACATTTGACAAAATTTTAAAATACAAAATACAAAAATAAAAACAAACAAACAAAACCTATTTGGCCATTTGGTGGACCATATCGAAGGTCCTGGCCAGCAACCCTCTGCCCCAATTCTCATTCCCAACCTCTTTCTTCCCTTGTCCCAAGGGTATACGGTGGCCACCTAGCAGAGGTTCACTTAACAAGGTCAGCAGCCAGGCTGCCAGTATTGCAGTTATAGCAAACCCCTCCCAGACACCCAGACGCCTGCCTGGTCCACTCTTGTCTTTACCCACAGGACATCTAGTGCATTTCATGGACAGTGCAAGAGTTTAAGTGACTGCTTCTGGAATCTTTTGATCCCGGTGTCACACTGAGCTCTGAACACCCACACAGTTCACTCATGCCATTATAATCCGTTCCCAAAGTTAGTGTTGGGCAGTCAGGGGGCAGGCCGAAGGGATTTACTTGCCTTCCATCTGGGTAGCTGGTGGATACAGGCTTTGGCCACTAGATGGCATCCGCATATTGATAAGGCAAAGTGCTGAGGTGGCGACTGACCACTGCCCTTCCCAAGTCCCCCATGAGCAAGGCCAGCAAAGGGAAAAAGGAGGCTTTTTAAGGCTTCCTTGGAGAATCCTTTGACCAAAAAAAAATAATAATAATATAGCACAAAGCAGGTGCTAGCTATATGAACACCTTCGGAGGAATTGTACAACCCAGGGACTGACCACCTACAAAACCCATAATTTCCACCTCCCCTCCCCCCAATTTGGGCAGCTGTATTTCTGTACTCCTTCTGGCTGTGCAAGGTGTTCTGATGAAACCTAATTTCTGAAAATCTGTCCCCGGCAAAACCGAAGCCTCAGTTACTACTGCTATATACCATCGAAGAAACAAAAAACAAAAGCTGCCCTAAACGTATGCAGTGTGATCCATGCCTCCTGTTGCCCCATATGTTTTACAGTCATTTGAAAGAAATGTGTGAAAAGTGCCTAAGTGAAGTTGTTTTGCAAAAACAAGTGTATTGCTAGTATTGTCTGAGAGCAAGAGAGAAACAGCCAAGTGGTCACAACATTCGCATTAAAAGCTGTTCGGTGGGGACAATGAGAAGGCTAATGTGAGACTGAGGTGGCCACTGAGCCGAGCTGGGGGTTGTTTCTCACCATCCCCACTAGGAACTATGGCTTAGATCTGTCCTGGAGAGTGGGCCTCCTCATACAAGGCCACTCAGCCAGGACTGTGTAGGACTGGACCTGCTGGGGGCTGGTCCCTTGCAGAGACCTTCTCCCTGACCCGGAGCTGGACACAGCCAGAGAATAAATTGGCTTCACAGGGGAGACGGACTTGCCTTGCTCCAGGCTGGGAATGCGCATACCTTCTTTTAAGCATCTCATTTGTTAGAGTAGGAGAAAGGGGCCTAAGGTCACACAGCAAGTAAGAAACCTTGGGGCTTCTCACTCAGAGATGGCTTATAGTTAAATGGTTTGTTCCAAACACCCATTTCGGTTGGCTTGGCTGTTTTGAATCTTTCTACAAAAGTAGGCACCAAGATCTATCATTCCCTGTTTCTAGGGCTTCACTGGCAAAGAGGCCAGTGAAGGGCTGGCTTTGGGGCTGGCTCCCCTGTGGCTGCTGCTGCTTGGAAGGATCTTCTGCCCTCTCCTCCCTCACACCAGCCCCCTTCTGGACCCCCCCACCCCCCAGTCTCTGGGACAGCACCTTACACAGCCAAAGGAAACCCAGCTTTGCCAGTGGAGAAACACGGGGCCAGTATACAGTATCAGTGTTGACTCCATGCTTCTATTGCTTAATGCAAAGTCAGCCTCTGCCTACATCCTGGGCACCCTGCAGCTGGCACCAGGGGCTCCCTTCCTCCACATCTGTGCTGAGCAAGGGCATCTCAGTGCATGTGGCTTCTACTCCCAGGCCCTCCCTCCATTTACCCTGTACCTCCCGACTCTGCAAGCAGTGTGCAAACACCTCAGGACTTTGGGAACAACTTTAGTATATTGCACATAGGTTCCAGTCGGTTTCCTTCTGCCCCAGTGGGGAGGGGTGAGAGGGTCCCTCTTCTTTGGCCAATGAAACCATTAGGTTCATTTTGCTAATATATTTCCATTTCTTCCCCCTTGGTCATATCTGACACTGGGATACAGCATTCCCCCAAACACCACAGTGCTAAATCTCAAATGCTAAAAAAAATACTGGAATTTTGACATCAGTGAGTCACATCAACTTATCTCTAGGGTTGATGCTGCTTCATAGTTGAGATGACCCCATCTCAGGCTGCAGGCTCAGCTGCATTCAATTGCATTCAAGGCCTGGTTCATGGACCAGGCTTATCCACACAGAAGAACAGGGCTGCCAACGCCTTCCCTGTCCCTCTGCTCACCACCTACACGGCGGCCTCAGCAGGCACATTGCGTACATCTAGGAGAAATCCCTTTCAAAAAATCAATAAGGTTTTGGACTGTGAAAGACATTTGACTATCTTTTCCCATGTCAGGACTTGAATACTGAGTCTGCTACTCAGAGCATTCCTCCTCTCCTGTCTACCCCTGGAGCCCTGCTGCTTTTCTAAGTGCTACTTAGGGGTACTGGGGGACCCCTACAGGTGCTTTCTGACTCAAAAGCAGTTTTCTGGCAGGGGCGGGGAAGGCATGGGGGTAAGGGAGTGGGGATCTTAGCTGCACTCCATCCACTCAGATTCTTTACCTATTTGATGCATTTTCCTTCGGTAACCAGAGCCCCCGAGAGTGGGGATTCTGATTCAGCCTGTACCGACTGAGGAAGGAGATGGAAGAATTCCACTTAGCGGTTGGATATTTCTGGAAAACACCAGCACGGCACAGAGATGGACAGTACAGCCTCCTACACGGGCAGCTGTCCACATAGTCTACAGGAAGCGGTTATGGCAATCACATGTAAACATCATTGAGAACAAATACTAGAACAGAACTATGATGAGATGGTTGCCAATGGCAGCTGCTCCCTCTGGGTTACTCCTTAATTTGGTGGGAAAGAGACCAAGGTTGACTCTCCCTGGAGAGACCCTGGAGACTCCTTGGTAAATGTTACACAGCACCGGGTGAGTCTTCCGGATAGTAGTCTACGGGGTTGGTCAACTTGAGAACTTGTAGTCTCTCTGGTATGGGATGTCAGGCAGACACTGCTGGATGCCCTTGGCAGGCATCCACCCTCCCTATCAGTGGCCCCAGCCCTGACCTTGGGTACATCAGGTCCCAATAGCATGTTCAGCCCTGCTCTGCTCAAGGGCAAATGTCTAAGCGATGTCAAGTGCCTGGCACTGAACTCATGTGAAAGGGCAGCTTCAGTTGACTCTAAAGGTGGGGAGGGAGAGGCTCATCTTTCCCTAAAAATCTGCATTTCTTTATCTTAAGGAACCACCAGCCCAAGGTAGAACCCTTGGCCTAGTGTAACTGAGGAAGAAGCAAATAGAAGATATCATCTGACAAATTCTTCCAGCACGCTGAGGCTCAGGGAGGGAAAGAACTGAGCAAAGCTATAGAGGAAATTTTTGGTGAAGTCAGGACTCACCCTGCTCTCCACACTCTGAATCCAGTGTCTTTCCTATCTACAGGGTGAAGCCTGTTTGCTCCTTGATGCAAATCAGGTCTTAGTGGAGGCATCAGAAGGATTTTACTTCTATTCCTTCCATTTATGATGCACCTACCTTGTGCTAAGCAGTGAGCAGCTATACAGAGATCTAGAATGATTGGGCCTGTGCTGTGGAAAGTCCTTTCTTTGGTCCATCCTTGTAATCCCTACCTTCCCTAAATATGTTCCTGTCTACTACCCCTCACTCCCATTCCACCCTCCTCAAGCAAAGATGTATGTCACAGTAGTACTGGCTATCTTGAGCCAAGGAATGGCTTTAGGGACATTTCTTTCATTGATCAGGACATGACAGACAGGGACAAGCTAGCATGAAACCCAGCCAGCATATAGTTCTGTATGACTGATGGAAATCTTCCAAAGATTAGACCAGGATGTCAAACAAACGCATCAATTAGTAATGACTGCCTAGAGCACTGTGTTGAGGATTCTAACAGCACATCCAGGCTCAAGGAATAGGAGTGCTGTGACTAGTTAGTTATGTCTGCATTGGCCAAGGATGTCCAAGTAGTGGCACATGTGCTGTGTATTTGCTGTCAAGCTGGACACTTCCTTAACAGAAGCTACGATTGTTGAAACCTGCCTAATTCTCCTCTTCCATCCATTTCACAGAAAAGCACACTGGAATCTGGAGTGATCAATTGACTAGATACACAGGAGCTCAAATTCCCTGTTCCTGCTAAAGGCTGACTTCTCCAGCCTTTTCCATGGGTGGGGAGTACCCTCATCACCTAGGCAAGATTGTGGGCACCGCTTACCAATTCTCAAAGGACTATACCTGCCAGCGACAAAAGGAAACTTAGCTTATTTAATGAATCACTTTCAAACTTTTTAAAGTGGTAGGGACATTTTTTTCCTTAAATACAGAAATGTCCCAAGGAACTCTGACATATGAAAAAAGACCGAAGATGAGCCAGTCTGAAGCAGAAGCAATATGCTCATGGTCTGCCTGGCCATGCTTTCCCTCCAAGGTACCCACAGCACATCAAGCTGGGCATGGCTTTGCCACCACTCAAGAACACAAAGTTTGAAGTAAAGCCCAATTTGAATGTTTCCTAAGTTTGAAGGGAGCAAGGATACCGCTGCATTTGTCCCCAGCCACACACCCTCATCCTGGCACCCCTGCCCTAGCCATCAAAACTACATCACAGATGAAGCCAAAGTGAAGACAGCAGGATGGGCTAGCAGCTGGCCCCCAACGGATGACTGCTCTTAGACCAATAGTCCATCTGTACCACTGCACTGATGCCTCAAAGCCCTGATGCTGTGTCCACTCAGGATCAAAGCTGAAGGTGCACCCAGGCTCGTGTTGGAGCTGGGACTTGTCTAATGCTCATGAGTCCACTGCTGACTTGGCCCCCAGATGAGGCCTTTGGCTTCTAGTCTGTCACCCAATATAGTCTAACACACCTCTACCAGTCCCCGAGCATGGCATCTTCACCCCAGCTACTATAGCAGTTGGGGACCAGAATAAGAAGGCCTGGGGTGGATCACTGCTCTGCCTTCTCACTGGCCATGGGTCCATGGGCAAGTCACTTTTCCCTGCAGGGCACTGCTGCTTCCCCTGGAAAATGGAAAGAAAGTAGCTTACCCTGGCTTTACACGAGATCTGAGCTCTAATAGATGGACGTGCTCTTCAGTGTGCGCTGGGCATGAGACGGGGGCTCGCACTGCGACTTGGCCCAAACTCGCTCAAAATAAGTCACGGGAGGACTTGGCAGAAGAGGCCCAGAAACATGTCTCCATTTCTAGCTGTGGCTGCAGGCTGTGCTTTCCTGGGGACCAGCCAACCAGCACCCTCAGCACCTCCAGGGCAATCTGGCAGGGGAGCAGCGCAGCTCAATGGCAAACACCTCATGACTGTGCATAGTTAAAAATCAAGGAAGCGATACAATAATCCTGGGCACAGTACATCTGAGCCATAGATACATTATTTTAAGGATATACTTTTTTCTTCAATTAAAAATGAGTTTATAATCCTGATTCTATTCACAAGTGAAAATTTCATCATCACACACTACAGACAGATGTTATGATGAACAGGCTGCAAGTCTACGAGAGGAAGTCAGTCGGGCAGGAGGGCAGAGGGTGACTGACCCCGCACTTCGAGGTGCACGCAGGACAACTTTTGAAAGCGAGGACCCTAATGTGGCAGTGGAACATCAACATCATGGAAACTCACAGACAGAAGCAGCTTTGTGCAATGTAAACATCGATTTGTTTTTTAAAAGGACAGTAGTTTCAAGTCTCTCTCACGTGTGTTCTCTCACGCATGCTTGCTCGCTCTCTCGTTCTCATATACTTCTTTCTTTGAAAACGTAAACATATTGGAAGGGCCTTGTCTGAGGTATTGAGGTATTCCTCGGAGGTTAAGGCTGTTATCAATGTAGGCTCTGCTGGGCCTCTTTCAGCAAGCTGTCAAAATCCATGGCTTCGTACTTGCTTTTCCCAGATGCAGGAAGGGCCTCCTCTGGATTGCCATCTGGGGGTTCAATGGGAGGAGGAGGCAGTGAGCATTTATAAAGGCCAGATGACTGGCACATCTGCCATGGAAGGGGGGGCCCCATGGAGCAGGTGTGGCCCAGGGTGTAGAGTAGAGATGAGCACTGGATGGTGAGTATCGACTGCCATCCTCCTGTGAGATGTCTACCAGGCTGTCAGTGTCTCAGGGCCTCTGTTTTACAGGGCAAGGTGGGGTGGGGGGTCGAACGAGAATGTGCTAGAGCTCCCGTCCATCTCTAGCATCCTAGAGTCCTACTGCCCCTAGCAGCATCCCAGCCATTAATAGCCTGTTGCTGAGTCACATAAGGGAGTACTAACAAAACTGGGATCTCCTTCTTATATAGACAGGGCAACTGAGTCCCATAAGGAGGCCCGCAGCCAGGGGAAGTGCTCCTGGCCAGGAGCCCACCTAGTCCCAGATACTTGGGCCTGTACTGTGAAGATTACCTTGAGCTCTCCATTATGCTGTACGTGTTTGTCCTTCTTTACCAACTTGTCCCCAAATGGCAATGGCGTGATGACAGTGTCATTACAGTGTGGTCCATTAATGGACAAAACTGCTGCATTGTCGGGGTCACCACGGAATACCCTTTCTTCAGCCAGGGCAGCAGTTGGCCAGTGAGGTCACGGTTCTTAGAGGCCATGGAGGCTTGACTTTGTTTTTGGTGCCAGTCACAAGACAGGACAAGATGGACCAGAGACCAGAGCAAAAAAAGGATGGTAGCTTCTTGGGCAGGGAGCCACATCCAGAAGGGGCTTTAGGTCTGGGTGCCATTAAAGAAAGCCACTGCCCCTCAGGCTCTGGGTCCTGCCGGCCTGTGTCTAGGCCTCAGGTGCTTACCGTAGTCAGAGTGTTGGGGCCAGTGGAAGTGCCGGAGCCTGCCCGAACTCAGCTGGAAGGAGGGCTCGTTGCGCTTCCTCAGGGCAGTGCCATTCTGCAGGGACAGGGCCGCATGCTCAGAACACCGGTAGGTGATGAAGCCATGCTTCTCGCCTCTGCGGGGACAACAGGGAAGTATGTTTCTAGGCCAGCTTGGCGCACACCGTCAGACCACCCATTACTAGAGGAGGAGCAGAAAGCCAGCTACTTGTACCTTTGTAACAGGGCCCCACAGTTAGAGATGGCACCATTTGCTAGGCCCACACCTGCTCTGGGTAAGAGTCAGAAAAGCTCATTTGTAGGATGTTTGCCAGATGCTGGAGACATTGTCTCACACACTCTTCAGGTGACCCAATTACACAAGTACGATTATCTCCATCTCACCGAACAGGCCCCATAGAATTCAGGAATCCGCCCAAAGGCAAGTAGCAGAGCGGGGATTTGGACACAGGCTTTCCTGATGTTAAAGTGAATGCTCTCAACACTCCTCTATGTGGCCCTATTATGTCTACTTCCTTGCTTTTGCTATGCCTACTCTCCCTACTCTTCCCACTGCCTCGGCTATCACTTCCCTGGCTACCAACTCAGCCTTCACCTCCCTTCATATCACCGGCGTTCCATACACAAGGAAGATACCTCTAATGACTGCCTGCTCAACACCCAACCCCTCCCCTGACAAACAGCACTGTGTGACCAACCAGAGTGTCAGGATAAGCTTGTCACCCAAAGCTAAACCCCAATGATCCATCCCAGATCTTTGCTGAAACTGTGAGGAGAGGGCTGCTGCTTCCAGTAGGAAAGAGGTGAGCTTAGAACAACCAGGAGGACAGGCAGACATCCAAAAAGGGTGCCAAGGTAGGGGCCCCAAAGCCAGCTCTCCCTTGATATTTCAGTTCCACAGATAAGACAAAAAGAATCTGACTGACAATCCATCTGCAATATAAATGTTTCAGGGGCAGACAGAGTGGCATTTCCCTACTGCTCAGGACAGGCTTAGCAACAGTGGATTCCTAACTCAAATTCAAATGAATCGAATTTCCTGACACCTCTCTGAGCCAGGGCAAAGTTGGAACTCTTCTGCCCCTTTCAATGTCTGAAACTGGTAGTATGTCCAAGACTTTTTTAAAGATCATGTATGCTTTTAAAATCTTTTTTTAAATTTTTGTACCAGGGATCGAATTCAGGACCTTGTGCTTGCGAGGCAGGCACCAGAACCACTGAGCTAAATAAATCCCTGGCCCCTTGCTTCTAAAATCTTAACACATTGATATTTCTCTTTGGAGATTCATTTGCTTTTTCTGTTTTTACATGATATCCTAAAGACTGTACAAAACTTTAAAAAGTTCTATTTGTGTAATGACTCTTTAAAAAAATTTTTTTTGGGTAAAAACTAATATAAAGTTTACCAACTGGGCACAGTGGCACATGCCTGTAATCCAGTATTCCAGGAGGCTGAGGCAGGAGGGTTGGGAGTTCCAGCCAGGCCGGGCAACTTAATGACTTAACAAGACTTTGTCTCAAGATAAAAAATAAAATAAAAAGGGTTGGAGATCTACCTCAGTGTGAAGGTGTTTGGTTTAATACCCAGGACCAAGAAGGAAGGAAGGAAGGAAGGAAGGAAGGAAAAAATAAATTTACCATCCTTACTTTTTCTGTATCTATTAAACAAGTAACTCCTCTATGCCCCCTCCCCTCACACCCTGGCAGCCATCACTTTGCTTTCTGTCAATATGAACTTGATGACTTTTCATATTCAATGAATATGAAAATAGGAAAACACGTTCATTCAGGTAGTGGCTGTGTCAGCATCTCCTTCCTTCTTAGCTCTGCGTGATACTCCACTAGATGGATAGACGCCATTTTATTTCTCTATCCATCAGTAGACATTGGGGTTGTTTTTGCCTCTTGGCTATTGGGAATAATATTGCTCTGAATACAGGTGAAGCAATTATCTCTTTGTGATCCTGTCTTCATTTCTTCTCTGGCCATAGGTAGAATGGCTGCAACACACGATGCTTCTGTGTTGAAAATTTAAAGGAACTGCTGTATTATTTCCCACATCAGCTGTAATATTTTACTTCCCCCCTAATCCTACACAAGGATTCCAGTTTCTCCACATCCTCACCCATCCTTATTTTCTGTTTTGTAATAGTAGCCATCCTAATGGGTATGAAGTGTTATAATGATTGATACACAAGAAATCATTTTCTTGATTTTTTTTTACTATTATTAAACCACAATTTAAAAGCCCTAATCACTTAGTTTGCAAGTGTAATGTGAGATAATTTAGAAATATTTCAAAACTGACAAAGTTTTGACATCTCAATTGTGCATTCATGGAGCTTTCTGCAGATTCCCTGACAGATGAAACACTCCTCCTTAGGTGGGTGAGGAAACCCCAGGGCCAGAGCTGGGGCCAGGATCACTGCTGCAGAGAACAGGAGGAATGTGAGCAGCATGGAGGTGCAGCAAAGGCCCTGGAGTGGACACGTGAGTGCCAGTCTGGCTCTGCCATGAAGGAGCTACTCAGATTGTCCGAGCTCCTCCAGAAAGAAAAGCAACACAAAAAATAAGTCCCAGGAGCACAGAATGTTTAGGTAGGAGCAGGCATGACCTGCCTGCACTTAGTGAACCATCGGCCATGTCTGCTGCCTTTGCTGGTGAACAACCGTCATGGGTCCTTTTCCTGGGACTGGCTCCTGGGTCTAGGCCAGGGGCAGCAAACCTATGCAGGCATGCCCCAGCGGGCTGTTTGTTATCATTGAAAGCTCTAAAAGGTTTGCTCTCCCTGGTCTAGGCTGTTCCACAGATCTCCTCAGGCCTCTTCTGTGCCCTCCCAACTCCCCTACCTGCAGCGGCTTGTCTTGACTCACCTCTTACTTCTTGTCAGCACCTGGCATTCTACGATCTCGCCAAACACCTCAAAGCGCTTCTTTAGCTCTCGGGAGCTCATGTAGCTGGAGAGATTTCGAACATACACGACGCGGCCTTCACCCTGTTCAAAAAGGGGACAGAGAGGGACCTGGTCACTGCTCCCATGGAGTCCTCATCCCTGTCTAATGTCTGGCTGAGCAGCAACACCAGGTGGAGTCAGAGAGAAGACAATGACAACCTCTGTACTAGAAGACCTGCTCTTATGCAACCCTGAGTACAGGAGGGGAAGTGGCCCTGAGAGGAACTACTGCTTACGTGAGGGAAATGAGCAGAGCTGGGTGGGACGGGCAGGGCATTTGTTGCTATGGATACCACTGCATGGTCAGTGGCTTCTGCACTTGTACCTTGAGTCTGAGGCGGGTGGTGATGGGATGGACCTGAAAGTCGCTGAGGATGTGTTGGGAGCCAGGTTATTTGTGGGGATCAGAGTGGGTAGGAAGGAAAGGTAATGAGATGAGGCCTTTAGGGCTACTGGAGTCACTGTATCTTTGGTCACAGCACTGTGACCAAGAAGTCACCTGCAGGAGAGCTTGATGCTATGCCAGCAGGTGCCAAAAACAGTGTGACAGCGGTAGCAAGTGGGAGCCCTGGCTACAACCTCCCTCCTCTCCGTGGAGATCTGTGATCTGATGGGGGAAAGGTGCTGCCCGGACACTTGTGCTTCTGTGGGCAAGACTGTCTGTGGTTTAGACAAGCTTTCTCTGGGCATGGGCACAGCCACCCACCCAAGAGCCACAGGTGTCCAGGAGAACACTCAGGCCTGGCTCCCACAGGAGGGCAGTGTCAACAGTCACGGGAACCATGTGTCTCATACCATGATACGTCTGGGTTCCGCTCAACAGAGAAAGCCCTTCTTCTCCCAGCCTCCTGAATTCATAGAGCCCACCCCCCAGACACTAGCCCTGAATTCTGTTAGTCCTGTAGCTCCTCCCCATCCTTCTAGGCCCAGCTCCCTGCACCTCTCTCCAACCACCCATGTAAATGTGCTCTCCCAGCAGTCCCAGCATGACTTCTTACTCCAGGCATTTCAGTCATGATGTTAATTTCACGGAGGTCATCACAATCTGTAATTCCATTGTGCATTTCTTTGCTTATGAGTCCATTGTCTTTCTCTCCCTTCTGCCCCAACCATGGGAGGGGGGGACCTTATCTGTTTTGTACATCACTGTCACCCAAAGCCTAAGATTGTGCCATGTTTGTCAAACTGCAAGAGGCCCAAACATGGGCTTCAACAGGATGGTCTATGCTCACGCTGTGGCTTTAAGAACCTGCTTGCAGCTGGGTCTGGTGGTGTAGCACTCTGGGAGGCTGAGGAAGGAGGATTGCAAGTTCAAGCCCAGCCTGTGCAAGTTAGTGACTGAGGGAGACCCAGTCTTGAAATAAAAAGAGGCAGGGATATAGCTCAATGTGAAGGCTTTATGTTCAATTGCCAGAAAAAGAAGAACCTGCTATGCACTCCCTCCTTCCCACCCTCTTGGCACTCTCAAAGCTACAGATGCTGAGCCCTAGGTTGCCACCAACTGCATACCTCGGCTCGGGCAGTCTATTGGTTGAAATTTACATAGTGCAAGCTTTGATGGCTTCTGGTGACCCCTGTGACTTTCAAATGAGAGAAATATAACTGTTTTGCAGGCCACAGGCCCTTCTGCTCAGGCAGTGGCTGAAGGCTGACAGGTTCAGCACTTTCTGGCACCCCTGTGTGCCCCCATTCACTCTGGGCTCCGGGGCCCCAGATCACTTACAATGGCCTTTTCCTGCCGCTTCCTGGCGCGCCGGAAACTTGGGGTTCCATCTGCACATGGCCCTCTGCTTTCACATCTGTCAGTGAACAAGCAAAGCAGAGGCACTCACTGTCAGGAGGAGCACGGTGGGCGGGTGAAGCTGCTCTGGGAGGCAAAGGCTTCTGAGGACAGAAACCCAGCTTCCCCTCAGCAAGGACAGCCCAGGGCTGTGTTGGCTTTGAACATGGGCGCAAGCTTTCTGCCAGCTTGCTAATTATAACTCTGCCCTTCGGAGCCTTGCCTTTCACTGCCATTAGGGGTAGAGAAACCCCTTCACTTCATTATCTTAGTTGACCTGATGAGAAAACCCTAGGAAGTCTTGTTTCCCCATTTTCCAGATAAAACATCTGAAGCTTGGGTTCAAGATGGGACCTCCCTAGAGGGGAGAAGTCAGAGATCAAAGCAGGTCTTCTGGCTCTAGAACCACTGCTTTCTACTAGTTTGTGCGTTGGCCATCAACAGGCTCTGACCGCAGCTCCTTGCCTGTGCTGGGCCGGGCTAGCAAGCTTTTCATCTGCAGAGCCTGAGCAGGCTCCCCCGCCACACACTGAGGCTTCCTCACCTGTCTGCATGCTGCCCCTGCCTCCAGTGTGAATCCTTGAGAAGTACGGCTGGGAGGACGGGAATGTGGACTCCTGAGTCAGTCAGCCTCTGTTCCAATCCTGCCCCTACCACCTCCCTACTGGGTGACCTTGGCCAGTTACATAAGCCCTGTCAGCTCCACTTCTTCCTCTAGAAAACAGGGATAATCAATGATGTCCACCTCCGTGGCCATTTTTAAGGATCAAATCAGAAAATGCATATAAGTACTTGGACCAGGAACTGGTCAGTGGATGCTTGCCCTGTTTTTCTATTTCACCCTCTCTGAGCCTCAGTCTCTTCATCTATAAAATGAGGACGAGAAGCAGATGTAGCCTCCAAGGGCATCTGGAAAGCTCAAGTAGGGTGGCAGAAGGGGATATGACTTGCAAAGGTTAGAGCTATAGAATAATAGAATCAACATTAATTTGCAACAGAATTGGTCAGCTTTCCCTGCCTAAAGAACCCAGAGAGACTGGAAGGCCTTGTGGAGTTCAGATTGTCTGCTAAACCAGCCTCAGCATGCTTCCTACTGATGGAAGCTCAGCAGCAGTGAAGAGACTGGGTCTGGAAAAGGCTGAGGAGGTTTACCAGGCTTGTCAAGTAGTAAGCCCTGCCAGGCAGCTGAGCAGGAACTGAGATAACCAGTGAGCAGAGAAGTCCAGACTTGGAGGTGACCCAAAAGCAAGAAGGAAAAAAGGAGACCCATGAGGGTTCTAGAGAGAACCTCAACTCTTTAGAGGGCAGCAGGGGCCTGCTCAAGGTCTGGAGCAGGCAGGGAGGAACACTGCCCTGGATGCAGGGGAAGACTTTCTGAACACACTTTTGCAGAGCACAAACCTGGCTCACATTGGAGACTGAGGAGTCTGCTTGGCCCAAAGCAAGGGTGAGATTGAACGTTGGCCACAGAGGGCTCAGGCAGGAGCTGCCCCTGGGGAAAGTAGAATAGAGCCAGAAACAGGGGCCCAGAATTGTCTGCCAGAAGACAACTGGGACTGATGGCTCCTGGCTTGTTAGGCAAAACAGCTGTTAAAGAAATTGCTGGGGAATTCATTTTGAATAACTGACAACTTAGGGCTTCTCAACACTGCTCTGTGGAAAGCCCAGGAACCCCCTAAAATTGATGTTCGTGCACAATTTAATAGCGAGATGGTCATTTGGTTTCATGGGATCTTCAAACAGGTAAGAGCCATTGGTATAGATGTGTTAATATGAAGCTGAATGTTTCTAAGAAAAGCTCTCTGGATGCCCTGATTTTTGGTCTCAGGGTATGATCCTTTGGCAACATCATCACTGGTGGTGAACTTGTTAGAAATGCAAATTCTCCACCTTCACCCGCACAAAATCAGTAAGTACTCAGGGGTGGGGACTTCAGGAGCTGGGGGCGGGGCTCGCGGGTCTGCTTTTCTGCTCTGGACCCAAGAGCACCATCTAGTGGCCACCCTGGCACACCGCAGGCACAGAGCAGGCAACACGACCCGCCCCCAGGCCCGCATGAATCGCGTCCTTATGATCAAAGAGAAGCGAGCAGTCTCCCCAAATCCCCCAAGGTTCTATGCCTTCTGTCTAGCTCCGCAGCCCACTTTTGGGTTGGCTTCCTCTCTTGTCTGGTTCAATGAGCAAGGACAGTACGACCAAAAAGGCTCGGGACACATGGTCCCTCCCATGAGCTCTTTTTAGTGCAAGAAGTCACAGGGCAGCACACAACAGAACCAACAAATAGGAGCAAACGTCATCTCTGCTTTAATCCATTTTTTAGAAAAAAAATAGAATTACCCTAATCCTTTAATATGAAAATGTCACACAAGTTTTAAACTATCTGGGTCTGTATTATGTTTGCACAAAAATCTACTCATTTGACACATGTAAACATGGAAAACAGAATAAGGAGCAAGTTTGTGCAAATGTAAGGCCACAATTGGCCAGAAAGTGGCTTTTCTCCTGAGGCCAGGAGATTTGGAGCCCTCTTGACTGTCACACAGGCTCTGCTTGCCTCCAGGGCTCAGCCACAACTCCCTCCAGGAGCCCCACCAGGCCTCTGAGCACAGAGAGATGCAGCTCCATTCCAGAGCAGGTTAATCTGGCTCCTCTCTCCCCTGGAACCGGGGGGATGGAGTCCTCAGCAGTCTGCTGCCCATCCTGAGGCTGTACTACCTGTCATACCTGAAGTTCCTTTGGGTGGCTGGTGACCAGGAGCGGCAGGATGAGGAGCCAGAGCTGGAGTGGCTGCAGGGACAGAGCTGCTGATTGGCCCTGCTGGGCGGGCTCTGGTAGGGGCAGTGGTCAGAGCAAGGAGGGCTGACCCCCAAGTCCTCTCCATCATTGTCCTCCTCCTCCTCCCTCTCTTCCTCTTCCTCCAGGAGGAAGCTGCTCTCACCACTGCTGCTGCTGCTGTCCTCAAAGACATCATATTCAGGGCTCTTGCACGAGGCCAGGTCTTCGTCCTCCAGGGCAGTCTCCAGCAGCCCAAAGTGCTTGGTGAGGCTGGCGCGGATCTCGTGGTCTCTCAGCTGCACATTGTCCTTGGGTGGCATGCAGACATCACAGCTTCGGTCCTTTTCCTTCCTAGGGACCTGAGTCTCTGCCCGTGAGGGGGCATCTTGCTGGGGCCAGTCCTCAAGGTGGACCCCAGATGGCTTCCAGGACCTCAGCACCTTCCTCTGCAGGGCCCCCTCTGGCCTGAGCACCTGGCAGTAGTCATGGTCTCCAAAGGAACAGGAGAAGGGGCGCTTCTGGCCAGCCTGGGAGGCAGGCTGAGTTGGGACATGTCGAAGGTGGGACAGGAGCTCACTCTGTTCTGAGAGCTTCTTAGGCAGCTTCGGGGAAGCTCCTGGGGCAGCCGTGAGCTGGAGGGCCCCACGGGAGTGGGGGCTGGGAGCTGTCTCTTGGCTCAGGCTGTGCTTGATGTCTGGCTTGAAGGGATCCTCCTCTGTGGGCTTATAGGGAGGTGTGGTAGGGGGTGTGAGTCCTGCCCAGGCAAAAGGAGAAACATGTGAGGGGAAGGCAGATCTCTTCTCCAAGGGACAGACACTAAGACCTTAATTTGGGATGGTAAAGAAGTGTTTGCATGCTATCACTCCCCGAAGTAATGGATGGCAGGCATCACTAACTGATCACCGCACTGCTTGCTGCCTGGGCCTGGATGTGGCCTTGAAGTCCTTCAATTCTTTGGTATTGGCATGTGATGAGATGGATCTGCCATCCCTTCTGTGGCTTGGTAATGGCAGCTGAAGCCTCCAAGTCATTAGAGATGGCACTTCCTGTTCTACCTCCAAGCATTCAATGAGCCCTGACTCAGGTGTCTCCCAGTGTGCAATAGGGCAGGTACCACAGGTAAAACTGCTCACTGGATTTGGCCACCACAGTGCCCTTGATTTTTCCACACCTGACCTTGGTATTCTCCCTAATGTACCACAGGAACTTGCTACAGTGCCCATCTCTTCCTCTCCAGGGCTCCTGAAACCTACAGGATAAAGGCCAAACACCTCTGCATTTTGGTCATTTTATGACCGCTCTTTCCCGACCCCTCTCCCCTGTTCTACTGCATAGCAGAACCAGATAACCAGTGTCTCCGGTGCAGCCTGTATTTCTACTCTTCCATGTCTCTGCCTATGTTGACCCTGCTGCAAAGCGAACCCTCTCCTTTGTCTTCCAACGTCTGTTCATCCTTCAGGACCAGCTCAGATGCCCCTATTCTGGCACCAGGCAGTCTGCTCAGGCCTCACTCCTGCCCAGTCCCAACCCTCTTGTACTCCCAGAGCTCCTGCTCACACTCTGAAGTAAGTGCATATCAGACAGTGCTCTCAGGGTGTGAGTCTGTCCCCCCTCCCCCCAGACCATGGGCTTCTCCAGGGAAGAACTGTCTTTCATTTCTGACCCCGATGTCACCTCATCTGCTGATTACAGGCAGCCAAATGGCTGCCCCAAGCCCTGACCCTCCTCCTTGGAACACCCTCACTGTGCATCTCAATGCACAGCGAAGCCTGTGGGGTGGTGGCAGGGAGGGCTCACTGGGCACCCACACTGCCTGCAGAGCTGTTCAGTGTGGGGGATTTGTGGCCAGGGGCCTTGCCAGCTCCCCCAAAGGCACCCCACCAGCTGGACCCCCTGGCTCACCTGCCGTGCCACAGAGCTCCACTGTGAGGGTCTGCTCAAAGCTCTTCTTCCCAAAAGGAGGGTTGCTGGGGAGAGGAGTAGGGAGGACAGAAAGGAAAGAGGCCGGTCAACAGTAGGTTCCACTGCCCAAGCATTCGAGGAAGGCAAGGGGACACTGTGATGGACCCTGGTTCTGCTGCCATGGGTCTGGGGAGCATTTGCTGGTGGGACCCTCAGCCTGGCTGCTGGAGGAGTTCAAGTTGCACAGCTTTTAGGAGACACAGACAGGTTTGTCGGAGGATGTGGAGAGGATAAGTCATGCATTATTGCCAGCTTTTCCCATGGAGAGGGCTTATGAAATGACCAAGGGGCGATTCCCCCTCTTTCCCCTGGGCCTGCAGAGGTCGACTTCTAAAAACCAACCCTCTTCTTAGGGAGCTCAGCTCCTGCTGACCCTGATGACAACCAGGGCAGGGGCCTAGGCACCGGGCTGGACAGATCCCTCCACCCCCAACCCACAAATCCAAGACAAAATCTGATGGAATAATATAACAGTCATTTCTTTAAAATCTACCTTTGTGACAAGGCCAGCATGAGGCACCTTGAAGAGTCTGAAAGAAGACCAAAAAAAGGAAAATAAGATTCCTCAACATGACACCACAAGCAGATGTTTCCCCCCAAAGGAGAGCTCAAACTTTCAGGGAAGGTGAAGGACAGCTGACCCGACGCCTTAGCCAGCTTTGGGGAAGGACAGGATCGAGTCCAATCTACCTTCTGCCCCAGTGTCTCAGAGAGGGGATTCTCCATGATTTTGCAGAAAGAGCAAATGTGCACAATATGTCCCCTGGCCAGAGTGTGGCACCTTGGTGGAGAGCTTTTGCTCCCAATTGCTGCAGCTGTGGGTTCTGGAGAGTCCAGCACAAGGCTGAACCCTAAACAGCTCTGAGCCTGTTTCTGTGTCTTAAAATGGAGATGGTCACCATGTCTACCACATAGGTTTCTTGTGCAGAGTGAAAGGGAGAGGGTGTGTTAAGCCTCAGACCAGCAAGTGCACAACAAGTAACTATTATCATTACTACCATCATTAGCATTTAAAATTCAACCTCACTGTGATGCTGAACTTATAGACCAAAATCTGTTACATCATCCCTAGGTCTTCTTTAGGACACTTACCAAAATTTATAATCAGCTTCCTTTTTTGTCTTTGACTGCCTTTCTCCCTCCCTGAAACATAAGCCCAGTGAAGGCAGGCACCTTGTTCCTTTTTCATTAAGCAATGCCTTGCCCGTGTGCCAGGGGGTGTACAGGTGGTTTCCTGAAGATCTGCCCCAACAGCTCACTGCACAGAAAGGGAAGTGAAAAGCCAAAGAGGGAAAGAGACCTGGCCAACTCTGCACACTTGAGGTTGGGGCCTAGAAAACAGGACTCCTGGCTGTTAGCCCAGTAGGATGTGCTACACCCACCCCTGCCCTCTCTTGCAGACCGTTGGCTCTGACTACCTCTGGAAGGGAGCTGTGGGCAGCTGGGGTCCTCATCCGTGTCCCCACACCCACTCTCGCAGGGACTCTCCAGGGCAGGGATCTGGGGTCCCCGTAGGAGCTGCTGGTCTTGGACACTGTCCTCATCCGTGGGGCTGCCCAGCTGTCCCTCCATGTTCCAGGTCTTAGGAGCCAGGTGCAGTGAGGGCAGAGCACCTTGGGGCTCTGAGGGGGCCAGCAACTCATCAGAGAATGTCAGCCAGGGGCCCAGTTCAGGGTTCAGTCTCCGAGAACGTCGCACAGGGCACATAGAGCTTTCCAGCTTCTTCCCTAGCTTGGTCCATGGCAGACCTCGGGCTGGCCTTTTCCTTCCCCACTCCTCCTCCTCTTCTTCCTCTTCTTCGTCGTCCTCCTCTTCTTCCTCCTCCTCATCTTCCGCCTGCTGCTTTAGCCTGGCAGACCGGCTGACAACACCTTTCACCTGCAGCCGAAGTGGACGCAGGCTCGGCCGGGGCCCTGAGCTCCTGGGTGAAGCTGTGATCCTCACCTCCTCCATTGGGGCTGGGTGAGCAGGGGAGGCCTGGCTGTCTTTGGGGAGCCTTGGCCTTGACTGGGGTGTAAGAGAGGCATAGACAGGTGTGGCCAGGCGGTAGGGTTTGCTGACATCACAGAGGACATCTTGAGCCAGAAGTTCCCTCAGGATGGAGAACTCAGCCCAGGAGGCTTTGGAGGGGGGCCGGGGCTGGGGCCGGACCTGCCTGGAGGGGCTGCCTTGGGGCTGGGGAGCCGGCTCAGGGGGCTGTGGGGGCAGCTTCCTCTGGGGGAGGCAGTAGGTGTGCATGTAGCGGATGAGCTGCACCATTGCCTGCACGTCCTCCTGGGGAACCTGGGGACAGGGGCTTGCCCTTCCCAGTGTCACAGCATCCAGGTGAGAGGCTGGAGCTGGCTGAGTGCTCGCATAGTCCTCCTTGGCAAGAAGCTGGGGACTCAGGGGCAGTGGCCGTTGCAGGCCCCTCTCTGGAGAACAGGCTTTTGCCTGGGGACATGATGGCACCGAAGTGAGGTGCTTATGTAGTTCTGTACAACTCCGGCTCTGAGACTGTGACATGGGGGCCTTCTTGTCCTGGGCGCTGTCCATCTAGAGAGACAGAGGCCAGAGTGAGGAGGGAGGATGCACTGCTCCTCCTCCTCCCACCCCCCAGCCAGTTGCTGGCCTGGTGCACCTCACCTGGACCATGGCAGTCCAGGTCTCCTTCGCTCTGCCCTCAGCCTCCCACACGCAGCCCACACCTGGCTATGCTCAGGTGGTCAGGAGTAGAAGAGCACCCAGGCCCCGACAGGTTTCCCCACCATGGAACTGGCCCCCGAGACCCTTCGAGATGCACTTCCGAGGCTTGCTTGGTCTGGCCCATGTCCCTTCTCCATCTCCTCCAGGCACAGGGTCAGGACCTGAGCTGGTGGCTGCCAACAGCTGGGAATGGGAAGGCCTCACTGCAAATGGGGACACTGGGGCCCTTTTGGGGATATGGGTATGTTCCGAAACTGGATTGTGATCACGGTTACAAAACTGTAAATTTACTAAAAACCATACAATTATACTTTTAAGATAGGTGGCTTTTAGCAGGGCACCTGTGGTCCCAATACTTGGATCACTGGAGCCCAGGAATTCAAGACCAGCCTGAGTAATACACTGAGACTCCATTTCAAAAACAAACAGATGAAGGTGGCTTTTATGATATATATGGTGCTTGAGAAAAGTTGTTATAAAAAGAGAAAAAATTTGCTTGGTATGCCCCTAATCCTAGCACTCTGGGAATGTGAGACAGAATCACAAGTTTGAGCCCAGCCCAGGCAACTTAATTAATCAGCAAGAACCTATCTCAAAATAAAGAATAAAAAAGGACTGGGATGTGGACCCAGGTGAAGGCCCTGGGTTCAATCCCCATTTAAAAAAAAAAAAAGAAGAAGAAAGAAAAAAACAAAAGAAAAATTCAGTTGCTTCCCAGTGTCCATAGGATAAAGGGAGGCTCCCTGGGCAGGAGCCTGAGCCCTCAGCGTGCTGGCATTAGCTGATGTCTCTCAAGTCTTGCTTGCCCATGTGCTCCTGCATGGAGGCTTCCCTGCCAGTTCCACTTTTTCCTGGGGCTTTCTAACAATGGCTGCTGGGTCTCTTCTTACTTAGAAGCCTTCTAGTATCCCAGAGGGCAAAGAACTGACCCAGAGAGGGGCTCAGCTACTGCAATACGGAATGCAGGAGGATGGGCGTTTGCTTCAGGAGGTCAGCCAGGACAAACAGGGAGGGAGCACAAGGACAAGGATGTGGACAGGCAGGAGGGCAAGCATGAGTACAGCTTTAAGGAACAGGAAGCCCTAGAAATCACATATTAAGCCCTCCTTGTTCGGTGTGGGAGAGGAAGCCCAAAAGAGGTTGTGCTTTGATCCTTGGTATTCAGAGCTCCAAATTGCATGCAGTCTTCACAACCAGTGAGGATCCTATTTCCATCTGTCATCCCACTAAACACGAACCCCGAAGGCAGGCCACTCTGTCCCTGCTCCAACCTGTGTTAAAGTCTAACAGCAACTGAAATCATGAAGTGTGAAAAAATTCCAGGGTTCTTTCTAGAAGCCCAAATTGGGCTGTATCTCAAGAAGCAGAGACCAGGACAATGGCTCCACAATGTTTGTGTGAGGAGCATGGACAGAGACTGGAGTGGGTTGGACTAGCCACATGTGCCAGAACTGATGACTATGTCCCTGAGCAGCTGCCTGGGGCCTGGGCTTACTTCTGGGCCTGTGCAGAAATACCTTGACCCATGGCCGTTGACTTCTGGGCCTGAGGCCAGCCTGGCGCCAAGTGGTCCCCTCCTTCTGAGTGTCAGAGCTTGACGGTGGGGAGGATGTGGCCAGGAGGAGCTTCTGCAGCTGGGGAAAAGCAGAGAGAGAGTCTGGGGCTAAGCATGGCCAGACATGAGGACCACAGCTTCATGTCAAGGCTGATCATACCTTAGCTGTCACCATGGGACTGTGGGGAAAGCACATGATGCCCTAGGATGATGCTCCCAACACAGTGAGTGCAGAAAGAGTATTGCATATAATCCAAAGCATGCACAAATATCACACTAACATATAAGTTCTTTTCAGAGTCAATAAACCAAGAGAATAGCTGTGACTCTGAGAAACCAAACTGCTCTTAGATAATGCCTACCCATTCTGTGGTTAAACTATTATCAGGACATTCTGCATATACTTTTAGTAGGTACACATTCACACACACACACACACACAAACACACACACACATACACACACACCTGTGAGGTTAGGTACTAAAACCATTATCTGAAGAGGACTCGTTTTCCTTTTGTTCATTCATAGTAACCTTTTAAAAATTAATTTCTTGGGCCGGGGATTTGGCTCAGTGGCTGAGTTCGATCCCCAGTACCAAAAAAAATAATAATAATGATTTCATAAACTAAATAAGTGACACATAAATATTAAATCTGAGCCAGGCGCGGTGGCACATGCCTGTAATCCCAGCACTCAGGAAGCTGAGGCAGGAGGATCTCTCGAGTTCGAGGCCAGCCTGGTCTACATAGTTCAGGGTCAGCCTGAACTACAAAGGGAGACCCTGCCTCAACAAAACAAAACAAAACAAAACACAACAACAACATAAATATTAAATCTGTATCTACCTACCACAAACACTAAAGGGTGGACAATTAAAAGCATCTCACTGTTATCCTAGGTTTCTTTGTTGCTCCCAGAGGCAATTGCCACTAACTACTCCCTTGTGCACCTATCATGAGATGGACTTTAATCATATAAGAACACACAGGTACATGTTACCTCCAACCCAGTCGGCTGTTTTTACACATGTGGAGTAATGTTAAAGTTTAGCTTGTCTTTTTTTTCCTAGATAATTTTTCTATAGAGATTGTTGAAACTCCCCTGCTTCTGCACTCTACAGGCAGTGCAGGGTGCCTCCAAGCTGATGCACCTAGAAGTTCTACCCAGGATCCATCATGGCCAAGAATGAAACATGGTAAGAAACACAACGGATTTTACTATAGCACCAATGTTTTCTGGGGAACGTGCCCCTACCCCCACCCCAGCAAGGAGCACAGGCCTAGAAGGCAGAGACAAGGCCGTGCCCTACTCTACTGAGGAGCTAAAGGACCCCCCGCCGCCTCACCCAGACCCCAAATCAACATACACCCTGACTTTGGATAGGAAAAGACCCCTGGACCAGAGGAAAGAGACCTGGTTCTACACAGCTCGGTCCTACTCACTGTGTCTGAGACCTGGGGCAAGCCACTTCTCTGGGCCTTGGTTTCTCCATTGGCATAATGGGGGGCAAGGAGATGCAATGAGTGGACCTGACTCTTTTTTTGACTTTTGACTCTAAGAATACAAAAGGAGCTGGTGACCTAAGAAAAATGCACAAATATGTAGAGGTCCTAAGTCCATGGGTGGGTGCTCTGGGATCCTTGGCAAGATCTAGCGTCTGTATAACTTTGCAGCACCTCTCTATACCTGTTGGTATGCTGCAAGTCTAGACAGTGAGTCTGTTTCCTGTGGGCCTAAACAGAAGGGCCTTCCAGCGCAGGAAACAGAGGCACTCAAGAGAGGAATATGTGTGAAGGCAGTCTAAGGGATGGGAGGGAAACAACCTTTGACCAGCAGAGGTCGCTCTTTGCCTCACCAAGATTTGGTGCCTCTGTAAAGCCCTGTGCAGAAATGGCACTGAAATCTTGTTACTACTACCAATGGTCATGCGGGGACAATGACTTAGCTAGTGTTTACTGAGCGAGTCTATGTGCCAGACACTATTCTAAGTGCTCCCCATATATGACCTGCTCTAGTCTTGAATACCCTTTGAGGCATCCACTATTATCTGCCACCCACCTCACCCCCACCAATAGGTCACGAAGTGTCAGAGAGAGGTTAAAAGAAGGTGGGTGCCTCCAGGACCCACAAGCACTACTGAATGGGACTGAAATTCAAACCCGGGTAGTCCGAGTCCAGTCTGGAAGGAGGCAAGATCTCATCAGCAGGAGCCGTCATGTGAGGCAACATATTCTGTGCCAGCCCATGTTAGGTGCTTCCTAAATGTTTCCTACTGACTTGGGGACCTTGAAGGCAGTGAGGGAAAAAGAAAAGAGCCCTAGACCATGAGTCTGAACACCTGCGTTCTAGTCTTTGCTGGCACACCAACTGGCTCTGTGGCCATGGGAAAGGCCCTCCCTACCCTAGTCCTCCGTTTCCCCAGAGTTGGGCTTGATAATCACCAAGGGCCTTTCTAGCTCCATCTCTCCATGACCTAAGAACGTTTCTTGCTCTGACAGGCTTTTACTTCCCAGATGAGTCCCACCAGCCTCCAAGGAGCCCCAGCTCCAAGGTAAGGGAGGAGCCCAAGGAGGCCACACCAAGCTGGACTGCACACTGACAATGCTGAGCTTCGGGAGCATCAGCAACTGCCTCCAGTACCTGTGAGGTCCAGATCTTCTGACAGTCTGAGCGCAGCTGACACCCTCTCCCCAGAAAGCCGCTCTGCTGCCTGCCCTTTGTGTACTCTGAGCACTCTCGAAGATAGCACTGGACTTGTGCAGAGGGAGTACATACTCATCTGCCCTCACTGGAAGGGCATCCAAAGGGATCTATCTAAACTGAAAAATCATGCATACTTCGATCAGGCCATCCACTCCCAGGAGTTTATCCACTGACTGGGGCAAAGCCTGCATGTACAGAGTGACTAAGCACTGTGTGTGACAATGCAAGAGTTAAACAACAAAAATCCCTATCAGCAGGGGTGTGGTTTAAATAAAGGATGACATCCTTACCCGGGAGCACTACACAGCCAACAAAGATGAAACTCCTCATTTGGAAGAGCTTCCAAGACACAGTCAAATGAGAAAGCAAGGTGAGGAACTGAGTATATATATCACAGGCTCCCTTTTGTAGTGGGGGGGAAAAAAAACATGTGAAGAGAAAAGTCACATAACAGATCCATAACCATGGTTACCTCTGGAGAAGGAAAAAAGTGATTGTAAGAGAGCAAAGGAGGTTTTACTTTTAACTGGCCACATTTCCTGCTTGGATTTTTACCATGTCTATATAATCTTTAGCAAAATATTTGCATGTAATTTCAAGGATTTAACACATGACTAAAGTCAACCTTTGAAATCCCAAGGAGCCCACAGAATGTAGGTGAAGTCTCACTGGATGACACTGCACCTCTGGTCCAGGCTCTCTGCCAGGAACCATAGTGCCCCAGCTAGTGGCACTGCACCCATACCAGGCCACGACCATCACCTCAGCCAGAAAGGTTCTCACCAGGGAAAGCTCATCCACCTCTGAGGCTGGGGCCACGGGTTCTGGGGCAGGGCTGGGCGGCGCAGACAAGGGTGCAGGTGAGGCTGACGTGCAGGATGGTGTGTCTCCTTCATCCAGGGCCGAGAAGGCGGCCAGCCCCACATCATCCTCGGGGATGTCGTCCAGGGTCTTGGTGAGGGCCGCCAGGAGGGCCTCATTCTCACTGTCAATCTGGAAGGAAGAGGCAGGGGGAGACCTGACATCTCTGCAGAGAGCTGCTCTTCTGCATTCCGTTTGGATATCCCATGCTTTCTCTCCTGGCTAACACCTGACTTGCGCTGGGGGAATGAATGCAAACCAGTCTGCCCGCATTGGAAGGATCTGGCTAAACTGAAAAACACGTACTTTTAGACCAGGAGTTCCACTCCCAGGAGTTTCTCCACTGACAGGGAACAAAGGCCAGCTGTCTGCATGGTGGAAACCTGCTCTGCCCACTCTGCTCCACAACCATTGCCCTCCTGCCAAACGTCTTCCCCTACCCCTATGCCCATCAGATCTGCTCAGTTTTCCTGGGACAGCAGATGCCCAATAAATGTGTTGCTAACTCTAAGAGCCCCTGTAGGATGCAGGTGGTAAGGGAAAGTGCCCTTCCCTCCCTGGAGTCCCAGTCTTGGCTCTGCTGCTCTCTGGAGTGTGACCTGGGACATAAAGTTGTCTGTATGAACAATACCTGCCTTTTCTGCTAAGGACCAAGGCTGCTCCCCAAAACTGTTAGTGGTACCCTTGCAAGTCCCAGCCCCTCAGACTCTGAAGCCCAGGCAAAGTGAAGGCTGAACAAGCCAGGAATCAACCATGATGATAACAACCAGAGCAATAAAGAAACAGCTACTGTTTCCCTGTGGGGTCCCAGGTTGGGAGCTGGGCTTGAATCTCAGGGGTCAAACTTCCCAAGAGTGGGTCCCTGTGCAAGTAGTTTCCTTACCTGTCAAATTGGATAACAGCACCTATTTTGTGGGGCTGTCACTGAGGAGTAGATGAATTAATATAGGGAAGATGCTTAGAAAGTAGTACCTGGCACAGAGTAAGCACTCGATGCTATTGTGATGACAATCTGATGGCAAGGATGATGACGATGGTAGTGGTAGTAGTGGCCTTTTGCCCCACCCCTACCCCACTCTGCCCCTGGCTTTTTTTTTTTTTGTACTAGGATTGAACTTGGAACCTTGTGCTTGCAAGGCAGGTGGATGCACCACTGAGGTAAATCCCCAGCCCTGCTCCTGGCTTTTGTTGGACACTGGTGATACAGCACACCAAGTTCCCCACAGTCCTGCCCTCCTACAGCCTGCCCTCCAGCCAAGGTAGAGTCACAGAAGTAAAAAACACAAGCTCACTGCAAAGCATAAGAAAGGCTGGGAGGCAGAGAGACGAATGGCTTGGATGGAGAAGAGGAACATGATGAAGCTTAAAGGCTACCTGGGGGTGGCCAAGGAAGCTTTCTCTGAGCAGCTGTATGACAGTTAAGGTTAGTTGTCACCTTGATTAGCTTAGAAGCCACCTAGGGGATAGTGAAGCACACTTCTGAGTGTGTCATGGTAGGGGTGAGGGAGGTATAACCTTGAGGTTTGTAAGTGGTCCCTCCCCCGTTCCTCTCTGGCACTGTTCCCTGCTCTGCTTACCAGCTGCCATGAAGCAGGCAGCTTTGCTCTGCCATGCCCTTCTATAATCATGTTTCTGTCTTGGACCTACTGACCATGGACTGAATCCCCTCAAACTATGAGCCAAATTAAACCTCTTCTCCTTTAAGTTGCAGGTATTTCATCCAGCAATGGGAAAACTAATACAAGGTTACATCTCAACTTAGGCTTGAAAGACACCAACCAGGCTGAGGGTTAAGGAATGAAGACCCAGGTAAAGGGGATGCCCAGGGCAAAGGCCTGGGGCATGGAGCCCTGCCAAGAAAGAGATAGAGACCTGGTCAATATCACCTCAGTGACCATCTCAGTCACCCCTACAAGGGGAGCTCTGTTCTCATGTCCAATTTGCAGGTGAAGAAACAGCCTTATAGAGTTTCAGCAACTTGCCACAAGTCACCTAGCAAATAATGGGTAAAGCCAGGTCTGGGACTGAGTGCCCCACGCTCAGATGAGTGAAGGTGCTTCACTTCCTGCAGGGAGGGTAAATGTACACACTCCCCATCTCCAGGCTGTTAGCCAGAGGCCCAGAGCAGGGATCACACTGCTCCTAGGCGAGGAGAAGCACCTCCATCAGTAAGCCTGAGTTCCTGGGGCTGTTCTGGCAGAAGCACATGCTGTCACATGATGCCTCCTCAGCATACTTTCCCATCCCAGGTCAGGCTGTTTATCCTTTATTCAGGAAGTTCATCTGAAATCCACATCTCGTGACAGCCTGTTGGCTGCACTAAATCTGTTCCAGGCCTTGCAGTCAGAATAGCAGCTGGGTAAGTCCAGAGGGGGGACATGGGGAGAGGAGAACAAACACATTTGTAATTTTTAGAACAGGGCTAAGAATAAAAGAAAAGTCAAAAGGAAGATCTTGGTTGGACCTGACCCAAGCTCTGGGGATGGGGGCCCCTGGGCAGATCAGGCCCATGGACTCTGGCTTTAGAATGTAATGGGGGCTCCAAGATAATTGTAAATTACATGAACTGCAAACATCTACCCAAAAAAATGTAGTGGGGCTCATCTGGCTGCCCCTATCCCCCACTAACAAGTCTTCCCTAACCCCCAGGCCAGACTTCCAACCCTGTGCTCCCACAATGATCTTTCCAGCTTGATGGGGAGTCAAGATCCTGGAACTTGGGGCTCAGTGGCCAGTAACAGACTCTGCCACAGAGTGACCCTGGGAAAGTCATTTCCTTCCTGTGAGCCTTGTTCCCTCACCCATACAATGGGAAGACCTGAGCCCTGGCCATCTTCCCTGCAGGGCTGATGACAGTGCCCCACTGGGCGCCTGGAGGGTGGGAAGCAGCAGAGTAGTTGAGCAAAGAAATGATTGAGCCAAACAATGAACAATGGCCAATGGCAGGAGACTGAGTTCAGTGTCTTAAAGACTGGATTCTCGAGGGAAGTCATCCAGAAATGACATCACCAGTGCTGGATGGAATGAGAATCCACACTCTTTCCCAGGGACTATAGCAAATGGCCCAGAGACACTAAGAATTATTATGCTTATAGGAGCTGGAAGGGTCTCAGGGCCAGGCAGTGAGTGACCAGCGGTGCCAAATGCATGTCATACATACTCCCACTGTGGTATATAAACCCTGATGGTGGACCTGCCCGTGGTGGGGTTGGTTCCTTCCACACCAGCATCTCTCTTGACACAGGGCTCCAGGCCATAGCTCCCAATCAATCACAGCTGACATTCCTAAGGAACCCTAGCTACCATTCTTTTTGCGGAAGAGGCTGAAGCCCCAGGAAAGAGACTTGTCAAGGTCACACAGCCAATCAGGGCACAAGAGCAAGGACGAGAACCTGGCACTTAGAAAGCTGACACTGGTTTACTGGGTGCCAGGCACAGGTTGAAATGAGTACAGATGGCTGCGAACTCTGGAAGCACCCATCAAGTTGGGTGAAGATAAAAGTGACTAGCAAAAGGCCTTCCCCCTTCTCGCCTCCCTGGGCTGCTCAGCCTAGAACAGTCTCCACAGGGGCTGGAGGTGCTAAGTGCCAGAGAAGAAAGGTCCCTCCTGCATACCCAGGGTGCTCTCTCCCTCCATGCCATCCTGTGGGCACCTAGCATACTGCCTCATGAGGAGCTGGACACCCTCTCCTTTCCCTGGGCCCATTAGCTTGGCTCCCCCGCTCTGCTTAGAAATGGAGTGCAAATTAATGAGGAGTTAATCAGCTGAGGAAGGGATATTAATAGACCTGGCCCCACCCCCAACCTTCCTGAGCTGATCTCAAGCTGGAGGAAAAAGAGCCTTCAAGAAATCCAAGGGAAATGCTTCATTTTGGGGACTAGATATGGTTTCAAGGAATGGCACAGACTAGCATTTAGATTGTCAGGGCTGAAAAGGCACCCAGAAATCCTCCACTGTTCAGCAGGCTTTGTTGAGCCCCAAGAAACTCAGGCAATTGCCCTCTACCCCATTTTTTTCTGGGAGGAAGTCCATGATTTCATCAAGAGTCTAAAAAGGACACAGTGATTCTCCTCCCCTACACTAAGCAAATTAAGAGTCACTAATCTAGTCCATGTTCCTTCTTCATTCCTCACATTGCCCAAGTTCACAGAGCACAGAAGAACCAAACACCTGCTTAGCCTAGAAATACTTCCCAAGTGCCCACTGGGCCCAGGCCCTACAAACTCTGGGGCATAGGAGAAATATCCTTGTTCCCCAAAAGGCTGTCAAGCCTTACAACTATAGCTTTGTCTCCACTCTCCTAGTTTACCCCATAGTGATGATGCTCTTCAGTTGTTAGAATGCTGCTCTGACACAGGCAAGCAGGCTCCATGATTCCCACTGCATCCCACAAGGAGGCTGAACAAGCTATTGGCAGGAAGATCAGAACCTAGGGCCCCCGGACCTCAGCTCAAGGCTTTGGAATGGGTCATCTCTGGCCTTTGACAACAAAGAAAAGACTGCTGGGCCGGGGATTTAGCTCAGTGGTTCCACTGCCTGCCTCGCAAGCAGAAGGACCCGAGTTCAACCCCTGGTACCAAAAAAGAAAAAGAAAAGACTGCGATTGATTCTATTTAACAAATAGAAATTGAGTCCTTACAGTGCGGTGGGGGAGGCCCAGAGATGATGAAAACCGTGAGAGACGCATACACTTGAGATGGGGGCACATGAGAGGAAGCAGCCAACCAGCTGACTCCTTGGGAGGAGGCAACACGAGAGCTGGGCATGGAGACTGTGTTCACAGGGCAACTATTTCTAAGGCCCTGACAGAGTGCTGGACACCACGAATGATGTGGACACACCCCACACAGTGTTTACAATGGCTGAGCCAGGGCAAGGGGCAGGCAGACCTTGACCACATTGCCACATGCAGGGCAGGTGCTCTAGTGAGTAGTGGAAGGCAGAGCAGGTTTCCACTGCAGTGTGCAGGCCCTGACGCAGAGCCCTGCCAGCCGTGAGTCAGCCTCCTCACTGGGATGGGAGCCTGGGGGCTGCACCACTCCATGCAGTAGCAGGACACTGGCAGAGAACTGCTGGAGTATGTGTGTATGTATGGGGGGTTCTGTGCAGTCCATGTGGGGATGCTTCAGGCAGCAACCCAATCCCCCTCCTACATGAGATCTTCACAAACAGAAAGCAGTTTCACTGAGAAGGAGAGTGGAACTCTGTGAAGGCAGCATCCTGTTCTTCAGATAAGGAGATGGGGGACCCGGATGGAGTCAGAGCCCAGCCCTCAGACTCCTTACAGGATTGGCAAAAGGGTTCAGTGTAGCAGTGAGGGATAGAGGATCCTTGGTTAGGGTCTGCCCTGAGCCCTTCCTGAGCGTGTGACTTTGGACAAGTAACTTCACCTTTCCACGCTTCGCATTCCTTACCCGTAAAATGGGTTATCAAGAACATACAACTTATAGGTTACAATAGTCCCAGGAGAACTGCAGACTCCTTACCATGACCCACTAGAGACTGTGTGGCCCCTGCATGCTGGTCAGACCTCACCTCCTAGCACTTTTTTCTCAGCCTTTCTGTTCCCCCAGCACTGCTGGCCTTTCCTGCCTTATTGCTCTGCAGCCTACTCCTGTCTAGAGCACTCTGTCCCTGCCCTGTGGGCTTCAGGGCTCTCTCCTCATTCTGCAGCCGGGACCCACTTCTTTGGGGGGTCTTTCCTAGCTGGCCACCAGTCTGCAGACCTTCCTATTCCTTGTTGTTTCCCTGTGTGCTCTGTCCCAAGCCCAGTGGCTTCTGCTGTTTCTGTGTTTGCTCCGGACAGTGATGTCCACAGTGCCTGACACACAGGGGACTTGACAACCTTTCCAGAAGGACTGACAGAGTCTGTGGGAGGACTATTTGAGATGACGCTGTGGCCTGCCAGCATGGCAGGTGGCAATCGGCATGTCACTACATTGCCACATAGGCACAGGTCACTGTGGTTTCTGCCCCCAAACTTGATGGGGGAGAAAATTTCAAGAAAAGAATAATGAATGCGAAGGTACCCATCACCAGCTTATTCCACAGCCAATCTTATTTTGTCTATTGCTTTGCATGCTGCACACCCACATGCACACACACAAGTGCACGCAGAGTTTGCTTTCTTCACAAGCAAACCCCAGTCATTGTATCCCTCCAGGTGCCTTAAAGGAAACCACATCCATCCAAGGAGTGCGGGAAGCACATGGGGTCCACAGGCCTGTGCGTAGGGCATGGCCTCTTGTTAAAAAACCTTCAACTGGAAAGTAGGGATAAGTGTGTCTACAATTGAGAGACATTAAGGAATTAAATGAGTTAATATACACAGGGACAGTCCTACCACAGAACAGGTGCTCAATGACTAACTCCTTCTCCTTCCTGGCTCAGGAGGCAGCAGACTAGATTTGGTTCTAGTTTGGCTACTGGCTAGGCAAATTGCCCACGGTGTATAACTTAACTTCTCCAAGCCTCAGTTTCCCTATCTGTAAAATGGGGAAATAATGGCACCTCTCTCACAGGGGAGGATGGGGGTTTGATGAGACATGCAGGGGACAGAGCACTTGGAGCTCCGCAGCCCACTGAGGGGCTTGGTTCTGCCAGGGAGGCACAGAGGGGACCGCTCATCCCAGCCCTTAGTTTTGAGAGGTGATCATGTGGGCCAGGTGAGGGAACGGGAGCTGCTCCAGGTCAGGTGCAGACCCAGGACAAGAAGCAGGGTCCCCAGAGCTTGGGTGGGTGCAGGGACTTCTGGGTGAGCAAATGTAGAGGGTGGGGAGAGGGCAGAGAGAGGCACGCAGGCAGGGTTGAGGCCAGGGCACGTACCTGAAAGAGCTCGCAGTCGTCGGGGCTGTACTGGCTGGGCTCGGTTTCAGAGTTCTCCGGGCACCACTGCAGCTCCCCGAAGCAGGTGGCTGAATCAAAGTCGCTGGTGTCCAGCTGGGAGAGGTCGAGCTCGGGAAAGTCGGCACAGAGTTGCTCCTGCCCGGATCCCCCACCCTGAGGAGACAGGAAGGAAGGAGGCGGATCAGAACTGAGCTCAGATGCACCCAAGCAGAGGGCTTCTTACTCACAACACTGCAGATCTGGAACCTTGGCCAAGGCCCATTTCGCCAAGCGACCAACAAATGTAAGATCTGCCCCACTCCTTACAATCACTGAAGCTACTGGTAGTCGACTCAGGCCCCAGCAGTACAATCCCCCTGTCCCCTCTCCTCTCCTCTGTGCACTCCTATACATCCCCCAAGGCCCTGCCTAAATGGCATATCTTTTCTCTTACTGAAGCTATTTTGTTGACAACTTTATTAGAATCTGTAAATAGAATTTTACTTCTGTACACAACTGTCCCCCATAAGGAAATTTCTCAAAGTTAACCACCCCTTTATATTCATATTGAAATACAACACAGCAATAATGATGGGTGACATTATTGAATAATTATAAGGCTCTGAATAAACACCCATATTCCCAGGGAATTTAGAGGGTTATTTTTAATATCTATAATGTAGAAGACCACCCATTGGTAGAGAGAGCCATAATACATCTGTATCAAGAAATACTACTGCATTATTTAAAAGAATGAGGCAGATATATGGATCATCTCCAAGACAAGTCAAATAAATAACTGAGTTGTAGAATATAATCCCAAATGTATAAAGAGAATGAAAGAACAATCGAGTGATGTATTTCTCGATGTAGGATAATACATATGCAAACACACAGGAAGAAGCCTTGCAGATCACACAGCCATGTGACAATGGGCAGTGGGGTAGAAGTAGCACTATCTAAACCAGTGGTTCTCAAAGTATGGTCAGGCTCAAGGGCCAGCTGCAGGAGCATCACCAGGGGAACTTGCTGTGGGAGCAGTACTGCAAATTCTCAGGCCAACTCCAGATCTCCTGAATCAGAAGGCGACAGACCACTTCCTCACCCAGTCTCCTGAGTTTGACAGTCACCAACAGAAGGGCTGAGAGATTCAGAAGTTGAGACGCCAGTAGAGGACGATAGCCATAAGGAGGGTGGCCCAGGAATCTGGTAGATATGAGCTGAAACCCCCACTCACCAGCTGTGAGACTTCGGGTACGTCCCTTCACCCCTCTGAAATCCAGCAGCCTCCTCTGTAAAATGGGACACCACCACCACACAGGGTTAAGAGCAAAAGAGGCAATTTACAGCCTGGCCCACTAATTGCTCAGTAAATGGCAGCTGACAGTAATGACATGAAATAATGATGCTGCCAATAATGAAAAAGTGGTGTCTCATGGCAGGCAGGGAGGGGTGGGACCTGTCTGAGAGAACAAAAAAAGGCAAACATGACACCAAAGAGAAATAGGTTTTGGCCAGGCCTTTTCCTTAATTGTTCCCACTTACTAGGCCTCATAAATTATGAATAAATGTATATAATTAGCTCAACTTGACACAGGAAAAAGGCTTTTATCCAAATTTGGGTCAAATGCCTTAATTGGCATTTTGCAAGAATCCTGCCTGCACAGGCGGCACCAGGGCCAGGTCCTCCAAGAGGCGGCTCCCAGCTGAGTCTCAGGCCAAGCAGACGGAGCCCTGTAAGGCTGTCACCAGGGACATTGCCTCTGACATCCTGCACTCTGCCTGTTCATTCTTCCTCCAATCCACATGGATTCGGCTGCCCTAAATATTGAGCCACACTGAGACAGATACTGTGCTGGCTATTATGACCAGGGCCAAAAACCACAAAACTCCTGTCTTCTTGAAGTTCATGTGTGGGGGTAAGGGAAGATGATATTAAATATATAATCATGCAAAGGAAATGTTATTATAGCAATTCTCCCTTCTATGTGGTTTCAGTTACCCATGACAACTATATTCTGAGGATATCAATCACTTAATAGTGTACCCCAAGTGTCACTTGGGCAGTGCATTTGTTTATGTACTGACTATCCTGAGCGTTACTCGGGCAGGTGTCATTTCAACCAGTCAATTCTTGAATAAATTTGATAAAATTGTCATTTTTATATTTTCCGTTATATTATCTTATAAAAATTAACCCAAAAAATGCAATGTTTGGTCATCCTGTATTTAAATAATTGGACTGGTAAGTGGTTAAATAGAAAATTCCAGAGATGAGCAAAGTTGAGCAGCATGATGAAATCCTGAATAGTCCTGCTGTGTCTCACTGGGGCATGAACACTCCTTTGTCCAATGTATCCACACTGTATACATTACCCTCCCACCAATCACTTAGTAACCATCCTAGTCAGCAGACTGACTATGCGAAGCGGGTCCGGGTAACCCTTCTTTTGCTGAGTAGTGGCCCTGAAGTGCAAGAAATGCCAAAGAAAATCCACAACATGTTTTCTATAAATAAAAAGGTTAAAGTTCTTGACTTAATAAGAAAAGGAAAAAATCCTATGCTGAGGTTACTAAGACCTACAATAAGAACGAATCTTCTATCCATGAATTTGAGAAGGTGAAAGAAGCCAATTTTGATATCACACCTCAAACTGCAAAAATTATGGCCACAGTACCTGGTAAGTGCATGGTTAAGATGGAGTAGGCCTTAAATTTGTAGATGTATGTATAGGGGAAAACATACAGGATTCTGTATACTATCCATAGTTTCAAGCATCCACTTGGGATGATGGAACACAACTCCCAAACAAGAATAAATTGTGACCCTCCAAAAACCAGCTGAACACTTCTGAGCCTGGCTGGGATCCTGAAGATGCCTTAAAAGCCTCTGACTCTCACATTCACCAACCACAAATACCAGCACGCAACAGCAACCCTACCACAGGAAACTTGGGTGGATTCTCTCAACTGCCTCTTAGGAGCTCCTGTATCCATCGTGCCCCATCAGTGGGGATATGGTAGTTTTTGCCTATCCTAGACAGACATTTGGTTTCTCAGTTGGGGCCACTATGAGTAAGTCTTCGATATTGTGTCAATTTTGTGTCAATATGTCTTATGTAGACATATGTATTTCTCTTGAGTAAGCATCTAGGAGTAGAACTGCTGGGTCACTTGTTAAATGTATATGTAGCTTTATAAAAACAACCAAGTGTTCTCCAAAGCATTTGTGCCAGTGTACACACCCATCAGCCATATGAGTTTCCAACTGTTCTGCACCCTCACCAACACTAGGTATTTTAATTTTAGCCATTCAAGCACTCATTCAATGCTACTGTGAGCCAGGTAGTGTGATATATAAGACTCAGTTCCTTCCTTTGTGATATCTTGATGAGGAAGAAAATATATTCTTCCTATTTCATTACAGGCTAGGTTAGCGCTATGAAGGAGAAACAATCCAGCTGACCTGGTGGAGGACAAGAGGGAGAGGACTCTGTCTTACATGGGATCCCAGAATATGCTTCCTGGAGAAGCAGACATGGAGTTCAGATTTGAAAGAGAATCCAGGCAATGGCAAAAGTGGGAGGAGTGTTCTAGGCAGGGGGATCAGCAGAGGCAAAGATCCAGGGGTACAGAGTCTAGGGGTCAAGGCTCTGAGGTCAGTGAGGCTGCAGCTCAGTGAAGGGAGAGAGCAGTATGAAGATGGATGGGGACACCAGAGAGGCAGGCAGAGGGTGGATCAGGTTGGGACTGTAAGGGGTTTGGGTGTTACTCCGGGTCTGACAGGATGGGGCCAAATGGGAGGCAGGGATATGGGTTAGGCTGCTAGAGCCATGCAGGAGAGGGACAGGCCACAGGGCTGAGGAGCCACCACCTTGACATCACCTGGGATCTGCAGGAGAGGAAGGAGGGACAAATGCAGAGGTACAAGGCTGCTGAGCAGCAAGGGCCTCCCTGAACAACAGAACCCCCAGCAATAAGCTCTCTGGAGAGCTCTTTCTCTCCTGCTGGGACCTCAGAGTGGCCACCTCTGTGGACCTGCTTCCTAGAAGCAGATTTAGAATCAGAGTCCCAGAGTACCAGACCAGACAGAAGCAGCAGTCCAGAGAGGCAGCATAGGTGGGTCACGGTGGGCAATTCAGAAGTGAAAAGACTTCCCTTCAAGAACCAGATAAAAGCTCTAGATGTTCTTTCCTCAAATGCATGAATGCATGGGAAATTTATATGTGACTTTCAGGCCTTCAGAGATGTAGCTTAAGACCTCCTGACCTAGTTGCTCTATCTCCTCTATTTTGCAAATGTGGACATTGAGGCCCAAGGAGGGTAATGGATTTGGTTGAGGTCATCCAGTGACTGTCCTCATGAAACTGGCACTTCCTTTACAAACTACCCATAAAGTGGCCATGACAACTGCTCTTTGATTACCCATAGGTCCACATACTCAAGAGTGGAGCCAGCACATAAAACTAAATAAGCCTAAGCTTCACAGCCATGTCAATTAGGCTGGAGACCACTCTCTAGCTAAAAATATACTAGGCACTGCACTAATGGTGATTTCTTGGCCTTCTCCATACTTAGAGGCTTTTGAAGGGGTGCCTTGGGTGACCCAATTCTCTTCAAAAGGTCTGAACTGCCTTGCTAAGAGGTCCAGCACAGGCCCAATAGGCACTGCCATTACTAGGCACTTAGTGTATGCCAAGGGCCACATCGAGTGCCTCACATGCACCTTCTCATCAGAGTCTGAACACAACCCTACCAAGCAGGCATTACTGTCCCTGAGTACTAGTCAGGAGGGTCTAAGGTCAAGTCTCCTGTCTTGGCTTGCTAGGGCTACTGTGACAAATTACTGCATCTTGCTGGTGTGAACAGGAAACTTGGCTCGCAACTCCAGAGACTGAAGTCTGAGACCAAGCTGTCAGGGGGCCTGGTTCCTCCTGTGGGCTGAGGACCTGAGGACCAGGCCTCTTTCCTCAGCTTGAAGATTGCTGTCTTCTCACACTGTCTTCCCTCTGTGTGAGTCTGCCTCTGCTCAAGTTTCCCCTTCTAATAAGGACATCAGCCATATCAGATCAGAGCCCACCGAAAAGATCTCCTTTCACTTGACTTTCTCTTCAACTACAGAACCCATCTCCAAATAAGGTCACATTCTGTGGTAGCAGCCATTAGGGCTCCAA